TGGTTTTAGCCCAGTGAGCCCTGTTTCAGACTTCTGACTCTAGAACAGAAAGATAATTTGTATATTTTTAAAAATTCTCACCCAAGGATATTTTTCCATTGATTTTTCAGGTGGGGGGCGGGTAGAAAGGGGAGAGGGAGAAACTTCGATTGGTTGCCTCCTGCATGACCCTGACCAGGGCCCGGGATCTAACAACAACTGAGGCTCATGCTCTTGACCGGAATCAAACCCTCAACACTTTGGTCTGCAGGCTGACTAACTGCTGAGCCAAACTGGCCAGGACTAATTTGTGTTGTTTTAAGCTACTAAGTTTGTGATATTAAACTTGTTACAGCAGAAATAGAAAACTAACAGAATTACATCCTGTTAAAAAAGAAAAACTTTGGTGAATCTGACCATTTCTGTTTTTGCTTCCACTTAGGGACACATGGTCTAACAGGAGCAGAAGTGAGTTGGCTTTGGAATCAGACTGACCCTGGCTATTCCTCTGAGCACCTTTCTCATCTTAATGGGGGGTTGACATGGTGGTATTTATTTTGGGGGGCTGGAGAGGATGAATGAGATGATATAGAGGGCCTAGAACATAGTAGGCCCTCAATAAACATTCACCTGCTCCACTTCCCACCTACTAGTTGAATCCAAAAGACTCAATCCTCACTGCTTTGCGATTTGGGCTTAGTTGCTTCCCCTCCTCCCATCTCATCCCCAAGGTTAAAGGGAGATGCTTATTAAGTCTCTGAGAGTGTTTAGAGTTTCTAATGTGGCTGGATCTTCTCAGTTAAAAGTGTGATTTAGATGTAAAACACCGTTATCTTTTGAGCAGGTAATTATCTCCTGTCCTGAACTGCTGAGCACTGCATTGAGGTTCTGTCTCTGTGATGATGGTATCACTTGGCAGGTGAAGAGGGTGAAGAAAGACCTCACCTGGGTGGGTGCTGAAATTAATTAATGTTTATTTAGCCACACAAGCCTATAATAAGAGGCTAAATGTTGAGTGTTATTTACCCTTTCTGTAGCTGTCACTTCCAGTATTTTAATATAGCAGCTAATGCTGGCTGATAAAGTTGGCATTTTAGCATTGGATAAATAGGTAATAGTCACTTCACAATCATGGGTGTGTGGGGGGCATCTATTTGATTACTATTTAAAGTGACTTTTTAAAAAAAGGGTTAAGGAAATAGTGAGAACTATTGTTTTTCTACAAGGGCATAATTTACATTTCAAATTCTCTCTTATGTAAAACCAGACAGATTGACTTAAAAAGCTAAACTTTTGAAGTACTAAAAGATATAGTTTATGTAATAGTTAATAAACTTTTAAAAAATATGTTTTCATTAATTTTTTGATAGAGGAAGGAAGAGAGAAATATTGATGTGAGAGAGATACATGGATTGGCTGCCTCCTGCCGCCCTCTTCTGGGGATCGAGCCCACAACCTGGGCACGTGCCCTGACGGGGAATCAAACCGGGACCTCTCAGTCCACAGGACGGTGCTCAATCCACTGAGCCACACCAGCAGGGCAATAATTTTTTAAGGCTACTATTTATTAGATATTATGTGCCACACACTGTTAGAGACCCTATGTGTGTGTTAAAGCTCAAATAGGCATAACCCAAGTCCAACATCCCACACTTAGGTAGAGAGCATCCCTAGCCACATAGTTCGAAACATAGAACTCACTGGGCGAGGGTGAGGGTGGAGGCTCTGTGCAGTGTGAGGACTTTGGTTCCCCAGCCAATGGCTACCATTTGCCGACTGACTGCCTGACAGACACTGGACTTAGTAAATGCATTATTTTATTTTATTTCTACATTGACCCTTTGCAGTGGTTCTCAACCTTCCTAATGCTGCGGCCCTTTAATACAGCTCCTCATGTTGTGGTGACCCCCAACCATAAAATTATTTTGAAGTTGCTACTTCATAACTGTAATTTTGCTACAGTTATGTCTTAGGTGACCTCTGTGAAAGGGTCGTGCGATCCCCAGGTTGAGAACCGCTGCTTTAAGGTAAAGTTGTCCTCATCTTGCAAAGTGAGGATAAAAAAAAAAAAAAAAAAATGACCATGGCCAACACAGTGTGAATGAATCGAAATTATACTCTTTTTTTAAATCAGCAAAAAATATATTTTTCAGTGTGCCACAGAATTTTAGTAATTAGTTTATGTGTCCCATGAGCTGAAAAAGGTTGAAAATCGCTGGGCTAACCTATACAACAAAATGCTCTAATGAAGGTAATCAGTTTTGCATATTTTAAAATGCCATGTACATTTCCTTTTCTGTGAATTAATATCCTTTGCTGTCTGAGGCATTTTCTTACTGATTCACATGATATTATTATAAAATACTTGGAAAATACAAGAAAGCATGACAAAGGAGTCTCAATTAATTCCTCTCTTGTCCTCACCACGTTCAGAGCACATTGCCAGGTTCCGATGATTTTTCTCTCCGAAATATGTCTTGTATCTTGAAGACGTCCATCTCTTTGTTTTATTTATTTATTTTAATCCTCACCTAAGGATATATTTTTTCAATTGATTTTTTAGAGAAAAAGGAAGGGAGGGAAAGAAGAAAGGGGGCGGCGGGGGAGAGAGAGAGAGAGAAACTTCAATCAGTCGGTTGCCTCCTGTACATGCCCCTGATTGGGGATGGAAGCCGCAACCTAGGCATATGCCCTGACCAAGAATCAAAACTGAAACCTTTTGGTGTATGGGACCACACTCCAACAACGGAACCACATGGCCACGGCGACGTCCATCTCTTCAATCTTCACTGTCCCCACCCACACTAGCTCCTTTCAGATTCCCCAGTACAGTGTTCTTTTTCAGCCTCAGGCCTTTGCAGATGTGCCCCCTCAACCAAGAACACTGCCCAACTCTGCATGGCTGGTTTTGCATCCTTCTGGCTCCAGCTTGAAAAGCACTTCCTCAGAAAGTCCTTCCCTGCCTATCCTATCTCAAGAAAGTTTCCCCTTTCTTTTTCAAACGCTTTTCCTACCTTAATAGCATGTATCACCATTTACAGTGTACAATATTCTAAATCCTCTGCATGCAATTAATGAATTAATATTTGTAAAGTGTTCCAAACAGTATAAGGCATGTATTAAGTACAATGGATGTGCTCATTTAAAAAAATCCGTTTCCCAAATCCTCACAACCCTATATGGCAGTGTTATTTATATCCTCACTTTACAGATGGACAAACTGAGCAACAGAAAAGTTAAGCAACTTGTTCATGGTTGCACAGCTAGTGGGTAGTCGAGCCTAGCTACAAACTCAGTCTGGCAACAAAGTCCACACTCCTAACCATTTTCTACATTTCTTCGTCATCCCAGGACCTAGCATAGTGACTTGCAACTAATAGGATGTTCAATAATATTTTCTTAATACATAAATGAACAACTCTAATAAGAAAATAAAATTTGCCCTGGCCAGTTTGGCTCAGCGGTTGGAGTGTTGGCCTGCGGTCCGGAGAGACCCGGGTTTGGTTCCTGCTAAGGGCACGTACCTCGGTTGCAGTTTGTCCCCGGCCCTGGTTGGTCGTGCGGGTGGCAGCCACTCAATGTGTCTCTTTCACGTCGATGTTTCTCTCTCTCTCTCTCTCTCTTTCTCTTTCTCTATCTCCCTCCCACTCTATCTGTACAAAAAATGGAAAAATGTCCTCGGGTGAGGATAAAAAAAAAAAAAAGAAAGAAAAAAAAGAAAATAAAATTACCTGTAATCCTGCCACATTGAGATTTGGGGAACTCATCCTCTAGATTTTTGTTTTTCCTAATACAAGGATAGACTTTTTTCAAAATCATAACTTTTAGAAATCATTTTGAGGAATATAGATCAGGCATCAACATATGTTTGATATTATATTCATTATATATTTTTAAATTTATAATTTTAAGTCAATGTTTCTCCTTTAGACTGGGAGTAAAAGGCGGGGGAGAGAAAGATACGTTTTTAAATAAAAGAGAAATAATTTTTCTAAAATATCCTGGCTCTTCTTAGCTCTAGGCAGAGGTTGCCAAACTTAAGCTAAAAAGTTTAGGGAAGGGACAATGTCTTATTTAAAAATTATATATTTTAAATCAGTGTTTTAAATGTTGTTAGTAGAATTATTCTTGGGAAATCAACTGGCAAGAGTTTTCTAAATGTTCCCAAAGCACAGTGAATGTCCATGGCTTACAGAACAAAGTAGACCATCAATGATGATAAGAAGAGCACTGACCCCAAAGGGCAAGAAAAACAAGAAGGGCTGCTGGGAAAACACCAAGAAGAAGCTTCTCCAAATACTGGTTTGCTCAGTTTCAAAGATTTTTCTGTTCTGACTTTTAAAATAGTTTTGGGATAAATAATTTGTAACAGCTGGTCATCAAAGCCATGCGCACTCCCAGAAAGCCTACATCGCTAAGACTGACTGTAAATAATAGAGCCATCTGTCTCCTCAGGGAGGGCTGGATCGGTTTGTTGCACCATCAAAGTGCCTCCCTGCTGCCACTCAGCATAACAGACTGAAGCCACACTGCATGGTATATGGTTACACAGACCCTGCTGCACCGGTGGGCAGCCAGAGTTCTGAGATAAAGTTAGCTGATAGGGTTACCAGAGTGTCATCAAATGCAGTCACTGCAGAGGGAGTTTGTATCATGTTACCGCTGAAAATATTTTAATCTAGAAACACCATCCACTGGATACAAAATCCGTGAACACTGGACCTCTGGGTGTGGCCTAGCACACACTATTCCGAGACATCTCCGATTTGCTTTCATGGGCAAATAGAAATCTTGAGGTAGGAATAGAGGGAGAGAACTTGAGGATGAAAACAGCATCAAACTAAGTATTTCTGAACGCCCCACCCCCACCCCAATGAAGTTTAGGTCACACCAGCAGTTCCCTATGTCATCTTCAAACTGATTTCTTGCAGTGGAAGGAATGCAGAAGCAGACCCAGCATGATTTTGAAGCTTAGTTTTTATTCTGTTGTTCAATTGTAGACAACTTCCAACTACTGAAAAAAAGAAGGATGACTTTGAATTAAAGGATTGCTCATCTGTGTTTCAAGGCCCTTCGGCTGGTTCACTCCATGAGGTCCAGAGGGAGGTGAGTTTCTGTTGCTGCTGCCTTGTTTTGCCTGTTTGTGTTGGCTGCGGGGTGAGCTAGTTGAACACTTAGAGCAGCAGGTGCCACATGCAGTGCAAAATGTCATGGGGGTCACATACTTAAAGCTCCTAACTGTAGCCTATTCACGTTCTTAATGACACATGTGTGAAGGAGCAAAAAGAAATCGGATTGTCGAGACATTGCCTCCTAAAGTCAACTCCGATTTTCATTATAGTCAGTGGGCTGCTGGTAGAAGAGTGACACAGGGCCTGTGAGTGTGAAGTGGCTGGTACTTTACTGGAGGGAGGCAGGGAAGGGTGGGTAGACACAGCCCCTGCCTTCCCCCCTATCTCTGGGTCATATGCAGCCTGTCTGGAGGTTAGCAGAACACAGAGCAGAGGGTGCTGGGGATGAGAGTAAGAGACTCACAGGCACAAAGCCCCAGGGTTTTCCTTTGAAGATGGAAACACTCCTCAGATATATAACACTTGTATTACTACTAATGGGCTTAGTGAATAGAATAGACATCACGCACCAACCTGAGACAACGATTCACTGACCATCTCTGGCCCCTAAATACTAAGGATTTGGGATTTTCCATCTACAGACATTCTCAGTTGAATTCCCAGCCATCCTGGCCACGGTATCTTCTTCTCTTAACTGGCAAATGAGTCAGCAGTTCGGCCCCAAATTCAGACTTCATAATAAAGCAAACCACACAGGGAATAGCTGTCAGCATGCTGAGCACCCTGCTGTTCATTCCTGGCTGGGGCAGACGGCAGCGTTTTCACAGGGCGGGGCCACTGGGAGGTGCTGGCCTCACGTGCTCAGTGCTCACGCGCAGGGGGATCTGTGAGCTGTTGCTGAGCACATAATGGTCAGTGTAGCTGCATAAACAGTCACGGCCCCAAGTGTGTTCACCTGAACTCAGTGAGTCAAATTGGGTTCTGACCGGAATCTCTTTGAACAAACCTTTGGAGTCCAAGATGGAACCTGATATCTTTGTGGGAAGATGTTCCGATTCCTTCCAGCGACCTGTAAGGGGCCCATTACAATTCTAAGAATGTAGATTGTCCTTTACCAGAAGAACACCTTTTGCTATTTTGCACAGAAAGGAAATAACAATAACAGTAATGATAACAGAAGCTATTTTCCTGTATGTAACAGGAGAGTTACATACAGGCTTCTGGTTCATCTTGGTGGTCTCTCTCTCTCTCTTCTTCCTTAAGAATCCTAGCCAATGTTAAATGTTAGCAGTGTAAATAGAATGATAGTTAGGAACTAGGATCTGGCCAGCAAAGGGTCTTTTCTTCTTGGTTGGAAGGCCTTGGAGCTCTGCCGCTGGCACCTCAAGATACAGAGAAGGCATGAGGATGAGTCTGGGGCTGTAGCTTGCTTCATCGACAGTCCTGAAAAACTAGCATTTATCTTTCTCTTTTCTCTGTAGGCATTTAAAGATACTATTTTTTCCCCTCAAAACTTACACAATTTTTTAAAGAAAAATTGAAACCTATGTGACATATAACACTGTATAATTTTAAGGTATAGAATGTTAAGCTGATACATTTATTTATATATTGTGATACAATTGCCATTCTAGTGATAGCACCTCTATCAAGTTACATAATTATTATTTCTTTTTAGTGAGTAGAATAATTAAGTTTGAATATGATATTCTTGTCAATAGTCACTATACTGTGCATTAGCTCTCTAGGGCTTATGTAAACTGATAACTACTTGTTGTAAGTTTGTGCCCTTCAACATCATCTACCCTATCCCTCTCCCTCCACCCCAGCCCCTGGTTCCCACCATTTTACTCTGTTTTTACGAGTTTGGCTTTTTTAGATTTCACATAGACGTGATATCAGACAGTACTTGTCTTTCTCTGACTTATTTCACTTAGCATAATGTGCTCAACGTCCATTCACGTTGTTGCAGATGGCAGGATGTCCTTTCTTGTGTCTTAACATTTCATTGTATATATATCACATCTTTTTTATCCATTCATTCATTGACTTAGGTTTTTTCCCACCTCTTGGCTATTGTGAACAATGTGAATTGACATGGAGTGCAGATATCTCTTTGAGATCCTAATTTCATTTCCTTGGGGTATATACCCAGAAGTGGAATTGCTGGATTACATGGTAGATACATTTTTAACTTTTTGAGGACCCTCCGTACTATTTTCCATAGTGGCTGCACCGGTTCACATTCCCACCACAGTGCACGAGGGTTCCCTTTTCTCCACATCCTCACCAACACCTGTCTCCTGTCTTCTCGATGACAGCCATCCTCACAGGCGTGAGCTGGTATCTCTCTGTGGTGTTGATTTGCATTTTCCTGATGATTGCTGATGTTGAGCATCTTTTTTTGTACCTGTTGGTCAATTGGATGTCTTAGACAATGTTTTACTTAAAATTATTCAGTGATAGTTTTCACCATCAAACAAGATACTCATTTACAGGTAGATTTTAAAAATAGTTTCAAGGCTCTTATAGAGAGTGTGTCTCTTGCATGCTATTTTTTCCTTTGCTCTTTAAATGTCCCCATGGATAAAGAGTACCTCGCCTTCTGTACCTGGGCATCCTTCAGTATTCCAGCACTGAGGTTGGTTTTGTTTTTCATTTTTAAACTGCCATTTATTGAGGGCTCGCTCCGTGCCAGGCACTGTTCCAGGAGCGTTAGGTGCACTATCAGCTCATGTTCATCTCGCAATCCTGTGAACTGGGTAGTATTATTCCGATTTTTCAGAAGAAACTAAGACCCAGGAGAGTTAAATAACTTGCCCAATGGCGTATAGCTTGAGTGGAGAAGCAGGAATTCAAATCCAGGTCTTCCAACTCCTACTTTACCACTGTGCTTCTGACTTTCCTGGGGAGCACTGACCCTGTTCTTCGACTCGAGTTGGAGCTGTAACGCTGTTCGTGACGATACTGCTCCCTTCACAGTAAATAGAAGATGCTGTAAATAATTTAAAGGGACCCTGAAGTGATGATTCCTCCCACTTCCCCCTTCTTCTCTCTTTCCCTCTCAACAAAATATCTTTCCATTTGAGTTCTCCAACACTGGCACTTATCTATAAATCAATATTTTTGTACAATATTTAATAGATGTCTTTACTGCATTTAGTTTGTACTCCTTATTTTTTGGAGAGTTTAATTCAATTTTTTTGATCTAACATATTACTTTAGTTCTTTAGGTTACCTAATAATCACACTTTCGTAGACTCATAAAAATGTGGATAGGGAGAGGCCTCAAAGATGCACTCATCCAGCCCCATCATTATATGGGCAAGGGGGGTTGGCTGGTGGTGAGTCAGAGCCTGTTATTCCACCTAAAACTGGAGGAAATTTAAAAAATATATTCATACATTTTGTTTATTTTTTATTTCGGGTGGTAGCCTTTTTTAAAATCCTCACTTGAGGATATATTTAGTGAGAGGGAGAGAGGTGGGAAGAGAGAGAGAGAAACATCTATCAGCTGACTCCTGTACATGTCCCGAGGGGATCAAACCCGCAACGTAGGTATGTGCTGTGACCGGGAATTGAACTGAAACCCTTTGGTGTATGGGATGATGCTCCAACCAACTGAGCCACCTGGCCAGGGCACTGAAGGAAATTTTACTACTTTGAAGGAGTTATCCCATAAGTTCACAAATCAGGAAGAGATATCTAAATGGATGTTTTCAATTTTGTTTAAAAGAAAAAACAACATATCAAAAGGCAGCTGGTCTTGCTCGGAACATTGTCAGGAGTATCCCTAGGCTACCTGGCCGCTCGTCGGGCTGCTCAGAGACGGCAGCCTCGCTGCCGAGCTGTGCTCAGAAGGGGGATTCCTTCTGCTCCTCGGTCATCCTTCTGTCCACCCTTCTCTGCCTCTCCCCAGCACACCCAAGGGGAAAGCAGGAGAGGGGACCAGAGTGTCTTCAAGAATGGGTGAGAAGGCGGGTGGCTGTGAGCAGCCAGCCCACGTCTAATGCCACACCGTTCAGAGGCCCATCAGTGATGTGTGGGAAAGCGATGCCACAGGACTTGAAAGAAACCAGTCCTTGCATCCCAAGCTCCTGTCTGGGGAGAATAAATTCCAGGTGAATAGTATTTCCTAAGACTTGTTGATAAGCATTCGGTCACTAACCAGAGACCAGTGTCTTCCTCCATTTAACGAATGTGTCAGTCAGTCCCCTCCTTTCCCCTTGCGCACAGACATCGGGCATGGCCACGCAGTACTTAGGGTGGCTTAGCTCTCAGCTGAGCGTTCTGCCCTCGTGGTTATGACTACATCACCCTCAGTGAGAAGCCCCCGTTCTGTCCTGGCAGAGACACTGGGACACTCTAGTTCCGTACATTATTCTAATATATTTGACAACGAGGCTCTTCTCTTTTTGCACAGAACAGGACACATAGCGAGGACAGTCAGTGAAAACCAGATCTGTTGTCACAGAACATCCAGGGCAGGTACAAGGACGGAGGCCAGGCTGCCCACATGGATGAAGCCGACTTCTCCGAACTTACGACTTTGAAGCAACAGGAGGATTCGCCGTATGATGGGCATTTCTCCCAAATTAAGCTCTACAGTGATCGTAATTTGCCCTCGAAAAGTGACATCCTGGACGTCTCAGACCACGTGACTTCAGCAGTGGGGGCCCCGCGAGGAAAGGCTGCACGCGGAGGGCCGTGCAGACACACAGACCCAGCCCTGACTCTGGGTGAAACCGCTGTCCAGGAAAAATGTGATAAAGGGCAACAATGCACCCCGAACCTCCATATCCCAGCTCATAAAGGAGACCCTTCCAAGTCACACAGTTCTGATATTTTACAGCATCGTTTTTCCAAAGAGGAATTTTTAAAAGGCCAGAGCATTAACTGTGACGCTCTCCCAGAGATCTCTAGTGCTGAACGTCTTGATGAAGCTATTGTTAAAAATATTCTTTTGCGTTATATTAAGAGTTCTTGGCCACAAGAACAAACTCCAGAACTCACTGGCCAACTCAGCCCCACGAGGGACGACGGAAGCGGCAGTGGGCCCAGCCGCTCTCCAGCCACGGCAGAAGAAAGCACCCCCGAGTTGGAAGAGCCAGTGGCTGCTGGAGATGGCAGCCTTCCAGAAAGTTCCAATTTTCTAACTACAACGAAGAGTCCAAGCAATAAACAAAAAGGCTGCCAAGGGCAGACATGGCAGAAACTGCAGCCTGAAAAAACAAGATCAGGCCATGGGTTCAAATACGACCAAGTCCATTACCATTTCTCTGATTTCTCTAATGTTGCTTCCCAAGTGAAAATCCCTAAAAAGAACATAACTGATAAACTGCTTCCAGTGGATAAACAAGCCAGCTTTCCTCCTGAACTGGGAGACAGGTTAGCTCTTGTGCAGGATATGTTAGACAGTGTGTCTGGGTCACACTGTGTGGAGAGAGAGGAGCAGAAAAGGAAGACTGCGGACCCTTCACGACAGACAGAGGTAAGTGAACGTCGTCTCCGGGAAACACAGGCTTGGGGGCCCTCATCTGCCTCAGCAGGTCTCTGGAAGGTGATTGAAACTGAGGTTCCGGCCCTGGCCGGTTTGGCTCAGCGGTTGGAGCATCGGCCTGCGGTACAGAGAGACCCGGGTTCGGTTCCCGCTAAGGGCACATACCTCGGTTGCAGTTTGTCCCCGGCCCTGGTTGGTCGTGCGGGTGGCAGCCACTCGATGTGTCCCTTCACGTAGATGTTTCTCTCTCTCTCTCTCTTCCTCTCTCTCTCTCCCGCTCTATCTGAACAAAAAAAAAAAATGGGAAAATGTCCTCGAGTGAGGATAAAAAAAAAAAAAAAAAAGAAACTGAGGTTCCGGGTTCCAGTTCTGGCCGAGTAGTATGACCTCTCAGAAGCCCAGTGGGTGCCCTCATGCACGGACTGGACTAACAACAACACATCATAGAATAAAATCCAAATTCTTCGACCTGGAATTTGAGTTTACCCATCTTTTTTTTTTTTTTACTTCATCCTACCCTTTGAAACTGAGCTCCCCTGCCCCAGGAGTCATCCCCAGTTACCTGGCTGGTCCCCTCCCCTCGTCAGGCTCTGCGGACTCGGAACTCCTGCCTCACAAGGGTCAGCCCACCTCTGCTCACCAGAGAGCCGCTCGTCTTCATGGCCCAATTCCCCGCGGGCCACGGGACTTCTCAGAACCCCCAGCCACATCTTCTCCATCCTTCGTTAGTATTCTGCCAGGCATTTATCTCAGCCTGCTTCGAGTCCTAATAATCTGGACATCTCTGCTTCTTCCACCAGACTTGAAGACTCTGGGCAACAACCTTGCCTCACCTCTCCATTGCCTACCTTCCCCAGAGCCTGGCCTGTGCCCTCCATATACTACACCCCTAGTTATTAATGCTAAATTGAACTGAATTAATGCTAAATTGAAGATCTTTCATAATATCTTTCAAGATTATATTGAGCCCTGGTCGGTTTTGCTCAGTGGTTAGAGCGTCAGCTCGTGGACCAGAGAGTCTAGGGTTTGATTCCGGTCAAGGGCATGTACCTTGGTTGCAGTTTGGTCCCAGGCCCTGGTCAGGGTCGAGCGGGAGGCAACCAATCAGTTGTTCTCTCTCACATCAATGTCTCCCCTCCCCCACTCTATCTGAAGATAAATGGAAAAATATCCTCAGGTAAGGATTTAGAAAAAAAAAAAAAAGATTGTTATATTGGTAACTATTTCGTCCAACATTTTGTTAATATTTAATTTATACTATTTCCCTTTTACCTATCTTCCCATCCCCCCATCCAACTTCCCAACCTGAGGCTCAGGATCTCGTGGATTATTTGATGGTCAATAGGTGGGTAAATTCACATTGATAATCAAAGTCAATAGTTTCTTTTTCCTGGCACTTTGCCAGGACTGCATGTTCTTTCTTTTAAGCCTCGTATGAAGAGAACCCTGAGCCTCCCTGCCTGCCGCCATTTCCACCTTTTCATGCTCCAACCCCCTTCTTTGTCAACTGAATGCCCTGCTGGGGAGCTGAGCAGAAACACCCCCTCCTCCGCACACACACCCCTGGAGCCGCAGCCCATCTAGTCTGCACTGGGATGCTTCTGTAAGGCTCGGAGAAATCTGCACCCCTGTGACACAGCAATCTCGGGGTTCCTCATCCCGCCTGCAGGAGAACCCTCTGGGTGTGCACCTCTCTGTGCTGTGGTTAGCAGGAGCAGATGGGTGTCGGGCTCCCCTCTCCGGAAGTGGGAGTCTCAAGTCAGGTGTCGGGTTTCTCTCTAGTCCTCTCAGTTCAGCTTGGAGAACTGGACTCTCTCGGTTCCATATCCATCATACCACTGAGACATTCATAATAATCGTAGTCTAGTGTGACCACGACACTTTAGCTCCTGGCACTGGTGTGTTTCTGAGGTTTGCGTGTTGTGAACGATGGGCAGCCCGTCAGGGTGAATCACTCTGGAATTTAAACTCCTGCTCAGCCAGCGTGGTGAACAGGAGGGGGCGTGTCCTGGTAAAAATCAGGATCTTGACGCGTTTGGAACTGAATGGGCGCTACTGTATCGTCTTCCCTAAGTGTGGCTCCCATGAGATTGGCGCTCGTGAGAGCAACACACCTGCTGACAAGACCGCAGTGGTCTCTGCCCTCATGGAGCTTACGATCCAGTTTCTGGAGACAGTTTGCATGTCCCCCATAATAGTATCAGACATGACAGTACTGACAACTAACGTGCCTGATACTGTGCTAAGTACTTAACTTTTAACCCTCATAAGGACCCTGTGAGTAGGTTCTGTTACTGTCCCCATTCTACTGCTAAGGAATCTGAGGGTTACAGTGATAAGCAGTGGCCCTGGGTCACCCACAGATCAGTGTCAGAGGGTACTTCAGCCTTGGCGTCAGGCCCCAGCTCTTGAACAACGCTGGGCTGCCTCAGGGACCAGAGCCCATCAGGTGGTTCTGAATGATGGCATCACTGATCATTATCGACTGTAATGCTTTCTTATCCTTTAATTATTCAGATGGAGCCCGCAATACATATTCACCAAGAACAAGTCACAGGTACTGGCATTTTTTCAACTTCTTTCATTTAGGGACACACTTTGAAAACATTTTTAAAATACCAAATGGTGCCAACTTCTGTTTTCAGGACTTAATAAATCTGCAGTGAACTTGAGATGAATGGTAACCAGAACTTACTCTTCCTTATATAGGAACAGAATCTGAGAGAAGTCTCTTTAAGTTGTCAGCAACCTCTCAGAAAGACCCTTCCTCAAGTTCTTCTTACATATTCCAAAAGATATCCCAAGGGAAAAAGATGTGTCAGAAATTAAAAGAACAGACTGAGCAGCTGAAGACTAAAGTAACACCTTTAAAGCTTATTAAACAATAGAAGTAACTGAATTCAAACATGAGACCCCATGCCATTGATGAAATACTGCATTTTTTCACTGCAGGTGCAAGAATTTTCCAAAAGCATAGCACAGGACGCTCCCTGTCACGTGCAGGACAAGAGGCTGGTAATAAATTGTCCGGTTTTTAAATCTCTCCTAGGGAACCTCCCGGGTAAATACAAATGTCTTCTCTGCTTGGAGGGCGTGGAAATGCTCTGGCAGATGTTTTGCTGAAAGTTAGGGCAGCAATATTTTCTTCGTCTCTCCATAGCCAAATGTCCCCCAGATGCCTGGCCTTGTGTCATATATATATTATGCCCTTAGTAAGTAGTGCTAAACTGAACTGAATTAAGATTCTTAATAACATGTTTCAAGCTTGTTATCTGGTAACTATTTGGTACAAAATTGTGTTAATGTTTTTTTTCCCATTTATCATTTGATAGAGTGGGAGGGAGGGAGGGAGGGAGAGAGAGAGAGAGACAGAGAGAAATATTGATGTGATAGAGCCACCTCGACTGGTTGCCTCCCGCACGACCCGACCAGGGCTGGGGACAAACCACAACCAAGGTATGTGCCCTTGACTGGAATCGAACCCAAGACTCATTAGTCCTTGGGCTGACACTCTAACTGCTGAGCCAAACTGGCCACGGCTAATTTTTTTTAAAACTTATCTTTATTGTTGAATGTATTATAAATGTCCCCGCCTTTTACCCCCCTTGGCCCCCTCCTCCCCAATCCGGCTCTCCTCCTGCCTTCCCCACACCATTGTCCGTGTCCATTGGTTATCCATATATGCACAGAAGTTCTTTGGTTTATTTCTTCCCATTCCCCAACCCCCCTGCCCTTTGAGGTTCATCAGACTTAAGTTATGCTGTTTCCTCTCTTCCCTTCACCCCATTTTCTCATCCCCAAACTCACTTTCCCAACATCCTGATATCACTGATGATTTGAGGTCAGGGGCTTTGTGTTATAGGGGCTAAAAGAGCTTAGAATTCTATTTCTCTAGTGCTTGGCCCCCTCTCTTTCTCAGGGGCCTATTACTTATGGCTGTTTTCTGTTTACTTCGCCAGTCACACATCATAAATCTGAGACCAGGGCAGGTCCAAGAGAACAGCACACCAGCTGTTACAGAGGGTTAGAGAGCCCGTCCCATCCAAAGTTGATGGGTCCGAGAGGATATAGGTTATAAGAACTGCTAGTATCTGGCATCTCAGTATATAAAACTCTGAAAACTTAAAATTGATCTTGAAGCTGTGCTTTTCAGATCAAAATCTTTGGAATCCACATCCTTGCTTGTATTTAATCAAATCACTAATTTTTGTTGTAACCACCACAGCCCTATTCATCAGTGACTGGGTCATGGGAAGTGGGGGTGGAGCCTGGCAACGGGGCAAAAAAGCTGAGACCTCCAGAGTCAGAAATGTGCTAAGTTGAAGATGTAGTCCAAGCCTCTAGGTCAACAGTAAGGCAGGTGGTCACAAGTCCTGATGTAAAGGACATAAGCAAAGCTCAGGGCAGGCTGTGCTTCAGAGACTAGGAGGATCTAAAGGTTAAGAGACATGGTTCATCATTCATTCATTCATTCATTCATCATACTAATTAAGTCATTCATTCATTCATTCAACAAACACTTACCAGGTACTTCCTATGTCCCAGACCTCTATAGCAGGCACTAGGGATTTGGAGGTGATGAAACAATTTTTTTTTTTCAATCGGCTTATAGTCTCCAAGGGACAACAGATTGGTAAACAGACAAGTGATGTGCTTGAGAAAGGTTACAGATGATGCTAATGGCAGCCAAGAAGAGGCTCACCCTTTCAGTGAGAGCAAGGCTCTTTAGAAGGCTTCCTGGGAGTGGCTGCTGAGCTGGGTATTGTGGGAGGCATCTGGGTTGGCACAGTAGGGGCAAAGGGCTGTTCCAGGAAAAGGAACCAGCAGGTGCAATGGCTCAGGGACAAGAAAGTGCTGAGAGTGTGAGGAACTGTATGGCACTGCAGTTGACCAGATGGAGCTCAGGGTACATGTGGTGAAGAGGAAGGGACGAGACTAGAAAGGTAGACAAGGGCTACATCATGAAAGCCCTTTAAACCATGCTGAGGAGCTTGGATTTCATCCTGAGGTTAAGCGATGGGCAATACCGGAGGATTTAAAGCCAAGAAAAAGTGAGTACCACGGGGGCAAGACTGTAGGGACAGAGACTGGCTAGGCAGCCATAGCCAGAGAATAAGTTATGAGAACCGGAACCACGGCTAGCAATGAGGATGAGAAGGGAACAAATCTAAAGGATTAAGGAAGTGGTGACGACTGAAAGGGGTGAGTAAGGAAGGGAGGAGGCTTGGATTAATTTAAGAAATCTAGCTTGGGCAACCAAGGTCAGGAAGAAAAGTGGAAGATCCAGTTCAGAATGGGTGCGGGAGGCAGGCAGGAGGCAAATTCAGTTTGGGACATTGGAGTTCCCTATTGGACACCCAACTGGAGAGCTCCAGCAGGCAATCAGAGCAGTGGATCTGGACCTCAGAGGACTTGTTTGGGCCAAAAATGTAAATCTGGGTATTGTTGTGGGTTGACGCCATGGGGTGTCTGAGATTGCCCAGCCTACCACACAGAGTAAGCAGTGACGTCCAAGGTTGGAATCATGGGAAACAGCACCAGGGGCAGGTGGAAGAAGAGGGGCTCCCCAAGGAGACCTATGAGGAGTGACTCAAAAGGTCAAGGCAGACCTGGAAGGGGAAGAGCTGCAGAAGCCAAGAGAAAAGAGGGTTTTTAGAAGTGAGGAGTGGGCCACACCGTTGAATGTTCAAGGAAGGAAGGAAAGGAAGATTTGCATTGGGTTTGGCAGCCCAGAGGTTATAAAAGACCTTTTACAGCCAAGTTTCAGTGAAGCGGTGGGTCTATGGAAGCCAGATTGCAGAAGTTAAGGAGTGAATGATAAAGGTGATTTCCAGAAACCCAATCTATCAGGAAGCAGAACATAGAATTCGAAAGGGTTGAGCAAAGCAGAGGGACCTGGTTGAAGGCACTAGCCTTCTGTGCCCTTGAGTCAGGGTGTTTCTTCCTGGTGTTAGAGGGGATGTGGGGATTCGTGTTGGGACAGAGAGGCGAGGAAAGGTGACTCCTGACAGTACCAGCCTTAGTCTGAGAGTTCCAGGCCCCTTTGGGTTGGTGTTGGAAAACGGCCAGACAGGCTAAAACCAACCTTCTCGCATGAGCAGCACAACATAGCAGAAAGCATTTCGATTATGGAGCAGCCAGCATTAGTTCTACATATTGGCTCTACAGTCTTGGACATGTAGCATGTCTTCCATCTCAGAGTTGTTATGAGAATTACATGAGGAACATTTATGGCGAGGAAACTGTGCCTTGTCTTCTTCTGAGACATAACATGATTCAAAATCGAAGATCCTGAATTATAATTTATAATTGGCTTTCTTCTCTTTTCTCTTCCCTTTGAACACCTAGTGCTTTCTCGTGGCTTTAACATCATGTTTGTGCTCCCAATTCTTTAGTTTCTACTCCAGACTTCTCATTCATCTCGCCAAGTGTCTGTATCTTCACTTGGATAGCCCACCCTCACTGAGAATTCTCCCTTGTACAACATTGTAGAACTTGTTGATACTGATATCTCCATTCAAAGTTGTTAGCCTTTCCAAATTCCTCATTTCAGTCCGGGCTTTCACATTCTGCCCATCGCCCATGCTTGAGCCCTGAGGCACTGTCACAGAATCAGTCAGCAGCCTGGCAGGAACTAGGTGGCCTGCTCCAACGGAGTAATTGAGGAGAGTTTAATAAGGCATCATTCAACAACAGTGTGCGCAGCTTAAGGGAAACCAGTGAGCGACAGAAAGCATGTCATGTAAACAACAGTGGAGCAGAAGGGGTGGAGGAAGGACAGATGCTCAAGCCCAAGGAGAGTAGCTGTCGCTGTAGGAGTAGCTGACAAGTTCTGTGGCTTTTGGTAGAGACACGGTCCTTCTTCAGTTCCTCCTGTTGATGCCATCCATGAAAGGTCAGCCTCCTGGGTGGGGCATGGAGAAAGATGGAGGATGGATCTGGGGAGAAATGGAAAACATCTACCACACTTGCCATTTTTTATACCCAGTAGCCAATATATTTCCAAACTTGTTTGTTTTTAATAAGAATAATTAATAATAATGATAGCTTCCCTCTACTGAGTATGTACTATGCTCCTAACACTAAGCATTAGCTCATTTAATTTTCACAATATGAGAAAATTGAAGTTTAGAGTTCAAGTTCACTAAAATCATACAATTAGTAAGGTGACAGAATCTGAACTTAAACCCTGGTGTGTCTGATCCTTTAACCCCACTATACTATATTCTTGCCCTTGGGAATCTCTCTCCAACGCATCCTTTCCTCTCCATTTTCATGACCACTGCCTGGTCCAGGTGTTCCTGAGCATCCTTCAAGCCTGACTTAAGTCTCAATGTTTCCATTGAGCCATGGCAAAGTACTCCATTCACAGAGTCTTTTCTCAAGTGGAATAAAGTCCCTGAGACCAGGGACTGTGCCTGATACAATTTTTGAATCTCCCATATTTTCAACCCAGGGCCAGATGTAGGCAGTGCTCAGGGAATGTTTAACCACTGGGGCTGCAGGGTTGCTGCCTCTATATTTCAAGACAAGACCTTGACCTGCGCGGTTTGGACGTTCACCTGTGTAGGGCTGCGTGTGGTGGTGTGGTGACGTCTGGGACCCACTCGCAGTGTGGCTAAACTTCAGCTGCTCCTTCTCCGTCTCACCCTGTAAGATGCGAACCCGGGTCCTCGAAGCTCAGTTCCTTTATAAGATCTATATGGCATCAGACTCACTTCCTGGAGCTCCAGTTTCCTCCTCTTGGCAACATCTACAACATTGATGTGTAGATTAAATAAGATCATGAGTGGGAACATGCTCTAGAAGCTAAAAATTGTTCTGCAAATATGTAGGATTATTGTTGTCCCATTAAGGAAGTCAAGGAGGCCTCTGAGTGGTTCTGGGTGAGAAATCAGGAGAAATGGAACTTTTCTGCTTGTGCTATGGGGTAGTGTGAATGTTGAGATGGCGCCTGTCTATATTTTAGATGTGAGACCCTGAAACAAACCAATGGCCAGGAGAAGGGTGGTGGCGTCATTTTTGTTTTTTAAATCCTCACCTGAGGACATTTTTCCATTTTTTGTTCAGATGGAGTGGGAGGGAGAGAGAGGAAGAGAGAGAGAGAGAGAGAGAAACATCGACGTGAAAGGGACACATTGAGTGGCTGCCACCCGCACGACCAATCAGGGCCAGGGACAAACTGCAACCGAGGTACATGCCCTTAGCGGGAACCGAACCCGGGTCTCTCGGGACCGCAGGCCGACGCTCTAACCGCTGAGCCAAACCGGCCAGTGCCACCATTCTACTGGGCGGTGTTGTCATTTTGACACTACTGTAACGTACACCCTCACTGGTTTGGGGAAAAGAACCCCGCTCATGGGGTTACATGTGAACGACTCCAGTGGCTTCTCTGCTGCAGGTCCTGGAGAAACTGCAGGCACATTTTGAACTGCTGGAGCAGGAGTTTGTGGCCAACAAGGAGAAGCATCTGACTTGGAAGCAGCAAGCCCACAAGTATGAATCCCCAGCTGCCAGTGAGTTTGACCCAGAAAGGTCAGGTTTAAACGGTGAGAGGTGCAAAGGTCAGAGAAGAGATCTCCTTCGGGAGGGATTCTGATGTGGCTGCTGGTTTGGTGCCTGGAGAGCCTCTCAAGGTCCAGAAAGATCGAGGGTCAGTAAAACTGTGCCACCAATGGCAGGGGTCACCCGTGCAACAAATAGTAAGGAACCCCTGCTCTGTGTAAGGTCCCTTGCTAGGTGATGACCAGATGGAGAGTCCAGAATGAACAGCTGTCTCCTGGAGGAGACAGTTGTGCCGCCACCTTGCATGTCATTGGATGTCATTATAATTGGTTCAGAGACCAAGACGAGCACAAGAAAACCCTAGAAAGGCTCGCGGTCTAACTCCAGAGGCCTTCACCTCTCCAAGCTCCTTCCGTCTTCTCCTTCACCCCATTCCTGCTTTTATTTCTCCTGCCTGGTTCTTCTCTTTTGTCTCTTTTCTCCTTTCTTAACCACAGACAATTCCAAAGGGGCAGTGGGTAGGTGAGGATGTTTGTCAGGCTGGTTAATGTTGGGGTGAGGAACCCACCAATCCTGATAAGGGAAAACATTAAAACTCGAAGTCAGACGATTCGTGGGTACGTCCGCATTAGCATCTTGGATGCACACTCATACTGAAATTTCCAACCAGCCGTTTTCACAGCACCACGGTCCTCTCTCCTTCCAACCTAAACAGTTTTAAGATGTATTCCAGGAATCAAGACTAGGATTGTTTCCATATAATTTCCTGCTGTGAATTAAAAGAATCCATTTAGTGGGCTCAATATTTGTAAGTTCAGCTCTTTCTATTCATAGCATTTTAACACGAATCATTCTTGATGCCAAAATATTTTAATGGTTTATATTTTAGCACTTGCGTCCTGAGGCATTTTTCCCAAGGTACAATTTTACTTTCTTAAAATGAATGAAACCTCTGTCTACTGTTATTTTAATACCAAGTAATTAGACAGCAAGGATGGGGTTTCAATATTGATTTTTTCCCCCAGAAAAAAAAAAAAAAGATCTCCACATGCTTTCCCTATTTGTTTAAAAATGAATAGAGTAAGGACATTTATTTTCCAAGGAATCCCACTTGTTGGCAGGAGTTTTAAAGACAGGCCTCTGTGCACATTAAGAACAAAGTTACGCAATCAAAACCTTATTTATATCCCAGCTACACCCACACTGTGCCTGGCCTCAGTATAAGCCAAGAGAGTTCCAACTGCAATTATATCCCATATACAGGAGAGGCTTTCAACACCGGGGCAAGGGAAGGACCCAGCCTCTTCCCAAGCTCAGTAAAGCCACCTCAAAGCAAGCAAAGCTGCTCAGTTCGAGGCTCTTGCTCTCACATGGCAGAACCCTGTGCAACCCCTGAGGCGTTGGTATGTCGAGGACCTTCTGAGGGTTGAGGCCAAAGGTTCTTGCAGATAGCTTTCTGTAGGGGAGAGAATTATGCAGTTCATTGGCTGATCGCTTGTTGAAGTCAACTGTTGTGCTCTTACTAAATCCTTCTTATCATTGTCTTTAAAAGGTAAGATGCAAAAAGAGCTGCTTGGATTTCATGCCATCTTGCTTGTCAGAATTTCATCTGGAAGTTGCTTGACTTTTTACACACCAAAGTGAAAGAGCCGAGGAATAGGGGTCTACCTCCATCAAGTCCCGATATTATGGTCTTCCGCTTTATAGAAAAGATCAGTTTCCTCAAAAATGTCTTTTCTCCATCTCCAAATCTGTATGTTCACCCCACCCCCACCTTCTGCCTTCACTTACTGTCCAGCCTCTCCAGCCCCATCTCTGCCCACGGCCTGGGCCTCACTTCCTCATCCCTCTTCCTTTAAATGTTCAGTCTCTCCTTGTCCCCTGCTTCATTCTCTTCTGCCTACCGGGGTAGAAAATATTTCCCTGCATTTTGTTTGATAATCAATATGGTTTTCATGCTTAGATCTTTGTTCCACCACTTATTGAATTAGGCCTTTCCCCACTGGTTGAAAAAGCCACCTTTATCATAAATGTAATCTCCATGGGTATATAGGACTGGTCTGTTCCATCCCACTGATCTAAGTTTCTATTTCTATGTCAAATTACTATAGTTTAGTATATATTTGGAAAGGTTTCCTTCTTTTTTTTTTTATCTTCACCCGAGGATATTTTTCCATTTTTTGTTCAGATAGAGTGGGAGGGAGAGAGAGGAAGGGAGAGAGAGAGAGAGAAACATCGACGTGAAAGGGACACATCGAGTGGCTGCCACCCGCACGACCAACCAGGGCCGGGGACAAACTGCAACCGAGGTACGTGCCCTTAGTGGGAACCGAACCCGGGTCTCTCCAGACCGCAGGCCGACGCTCTAACCGCTGAGCCAAACTGGCCAGGGCAAGGTTTCCTTCTTTTAGCTATTCTTTTTTTTTCTTTCTTTATTTTAGAGAGAGAGGAAAGGAGAAGGAAGAAGAGATAGAAACATCGATGAGAGAGAACATTGATTGGCCACCTCCTGCACGCCCCCGACTGGGGATCGGGCCCACAACCTGGGCATGCGCCCTGACCAGGAAAGGAACCAGCGACCTCTTGGCGATGCTCAGCCCCTGAGCCACAACGGCGGGCTCTACAGCTATTCTTGCACTCTCTTCTTATTAAAACTTTATAATTAGCTCGACTGGTGTGGCTCAGGGGTTGAGCGTCCTCACATGCACCAAGAGATCGCTGGTTTGATTCCCAGGCTGGGCACATGCCCCGGTTGCACGCTTGATCACCAGTACAGGCCATGCAGGAGGCAGTCGATTTCTCTAAAAATCAATAAAAAAGATATTAAAAAAAACAAAAACACATTATAGTCAGCGTACCAAATTTTCTTAGAATTTTGTACTGCACTGTGTTGAATTTGCAGATTAGTGCGGGAAGAGTTAAAACCTTTGCTGTGAGCATTCCCATCAAGGAGCATGTTTTCTTCCTGTCGATTTTACACAGCTTTTGGTTAAAATCAAGACATTGGAAGCACAGAAAGATTAAGTGATTTACTCAAGGTACGCAGCTAATGAATAACAAAATAAGGATTAGAGCCCAGGCCTGTGGACTGGAACGATAAACAGGATGCCTGTCAGGGTGGGTACCCATTTTCAGTTCTTTCTAAAGACAGACTACTTTTGTTTGTTTGTTTGTTTATCCTCACCCGAAGACATTTTTCCATTTTTTGTTTAGATAGAATGGGAGGGAGCAAGGAAGGGGGGAAGAGGGAGAGGGAGAGGGAGAGGGAGAGGGAGAGGGAGAGGGAGAGGGAGAGGGAGAGGGAGAGGGAGAGGGAGAAGGAAAGGGAGAGAGAGAGGAAGAGACAGAGAAACATCGGCATGAAAGGGACACATCGAGTGGCTGCCACCCACACGACCAACCAGGGCCGGGGACAAACTGCAACCGAGGTACATGCCCTTAGCAGGAACCGAACCCAGGTCTCTCTGGACCGCAGGCCAACGCTCTAACCACTGGACAAACCGGCCAGGGCATGACAGAGTACTTTAATAATGTAGATCTATGCTATGTTCAAGAATTGTTGTTACTAAATAGAATGTTGATTGAATACCCTGTAAGATGCCTGTCTGCTGGCTTACTTAGAAAAGTGGAAGGTGAAATCTTAAACTTGGAGATGCTTCTTGAAGACGTGAGGGAGAAGATGGACGTGGGCAAACACGCTTCAGCTCGTCCTCTTCCCGCGAGTTCTCCAAGCATCCTGGACGGCTGGCCACCCACGTCCTCTCCACCCTCGGACGAGGTAACGCAGAAACCTACAGCTTCATTTCGCGCCAGGACACAAGGTGCATTTGTAGAATATTAATTCATGGAATTACAAAATTCTATTTTAATATTTCAAGAATATTTAAGTTCCCAAAGTCCCATGAATCATATTATTTAAAATGGAACCAGCTTGTAAAAACTAGAGCTATTTCAAGTGTTGGTTTTTGACATCTCCGATCAGTTTAGGCTGTAACAACGCAGTTTAAACTGATGAGACGCTGAAAAGCTCTTTCTTCTGGATGAAGTAACATTTCTATGGATCACTCCTGGAAGAAATCGTTCTTCTTCTTAATGGTTTTATATTATCTTTTCCAAATAGAGAATGACACACTTCGTGAAAGAATGATTTCCATGAATCCACATCTGCGTTCTCTTTTTCTCAAGTTAAATTCTTTCGGATTGTCCACAGAGGCAAGGGTAGGAATTCAGATCCATCACACTGTCTTTCTACCCTTTGTTCTTGTCGTCTCAATCAGAACATTTCAGACTAAATTACAATTCTGAGCAACAGAATCATCTGGATAATTGCCTCAAATTGATTCTTTTGTTTCAGACAGTTGAAGACTCAGCCTGCAGCTGATATTAAAAAATTGAATAGGTTTTTGTCAGAGTTAAGGACAAGATGATGAAGATTATACAGGGTGGGGCAAAAGTAGATTTACAGTTGTGAGTACAAGAAACAGTTTATTCTTTAAAAAAATTTTTTTCCTTTATTGATATTAGAGAGAGAGAAAGTGAGAGGGAGAGAGAGGTAGAAACATCGATGAAAGAGAACATCAATTGGCCCTGGCCGGTTTGGCTCAGCTGTTAGAGCGTCGGCCTAGGGTCCATCAGGTGAGGATTAAAAAAAAGAGAGAGAGAGAACATTAATTGGCCACCTCCTGCATGCTCCCTACTGGGGATCAAGCCCACACCTGGGCATATGCCCTGACTGGGAATTGAACCAGCGACCTCTTGGTCATGCTCAGCCACTGAGTCACACTGGCCAGACAGTTTATTCTTGTATTATTATGTATTAATTATTGTGTTAATTTTCATAAGAACTGTAAACCTACTTTTGCCCCACCCTGTATGAATGTTAGCCTTTCCAAAGAAGTGTTTGCCTCCTCAAAACACTTACCTTCCTGGCAAAATCTCATTCATTTTAAGGCTCAGCTTCAGAGTGAGGCCGCTTATATAACCTTCTCATCCAGCCCCCGTCCCACACCAGGCGGGGCTCTTTGCTTGGTCTGTGTCCCCAGCACTGTCTCATTTGTCCTGGAGCCTTTGTGCACGTTGGACTGAATGCCGGGTGTAGAGCGGATGCTCAGCACAGTAAACTGAGCCACTGCGAACGCTTCACAAGCAGCTTCCGAGATTCAGGGCATGTTATCCTCCAGGGGGGACCCGGAGTTAGCTTCAGGTGGTGTGAGGGAGCTCAGGGAATCAGCCGGCCTTCTGCCCAGCAGCTCCCTCTGGTCCCAGTTTGCTCTTCTTTACTTGGGCCCAAGATTATAGCGATTCTGTGCAATGATGAGAACTCTATAGCTTTGGGATGAGCAGCCATGAAGAGAGTCTGCTGCTAGTAGTATTGATTCTTTCAGCAAATGCTTACTGCTAAATGCTAGGCACTTTTCTAAGGATAGGGCATAAGAAACATAAACAATCACCTACCCTCAAGATGCTTATATTTCTGAGGGACACATACAAGGAACAAATAAAATCGACATGTGATTACAGAATGTTAAAAGAGCTATGCAGGAAGTAATAACACGTTCCTTGGTACTCTGAAGCCACACTGCCTGGGTCCAAACACTGGCTGTCACTCATCTGCTTTGTGATCTTGGGAAAGTTATGTAACTGATCTGTGCCTGTTTCCTCCCCAGTAAAATGCGGATAATTCCTGTCTGAGGTTCCAACTCCTCCTCCACAAAGTCTTTGCAAATTGTAAAGCTCTGAACCAACAGAAATATTAGTTTTCTGCCTATAATTTTGTCATCATTTTAGACACAGTGTTTCCCATTCCTAATGAAATCATCTCCAGCGCTTTCCCCGGACCAGCAGCAGCACCGCATCATCTGGGAGCTTGTTAGAAACTGTTGAGCTCATAGAGGCAAAGTGTTTAAAACAGGGCCCAGTGCAGTGAGCACAGTGCCTGGCTGTGAGCTATGGTGGCAATTAGGTAACTCAGGGTGGGAGGGGAGGGCCGCCAGGTTTTCTAAGGAGGTGCGATCTGAACAGAGTTCTAGGGAACAGGAGGAGGCAGCCGCAGGAGGAGTCCGGAAGAGGAATCCAGGGGGGTGTTGGGGTGCCCTGGGGTGGCATGGGAATGCTGAACTGCTGCTGAGTCACCCTCCCAGGACTGCAGCCCTAACACGACCCAGATTCCCAAGGAGCCCCCCAGGGGTGCCCCCGCATGACGCAGGAGGTCCCCTCCTCGGGAGGCCCGAGTCCCCAACCCGCAGGCCCCTTCCCCCGCAGCCCCGCCAGAGGGGTTCCGAGAGGCTCCATGGAGAAGGGACCTGCACCGTGGGCTCCCCCACCCCGAGGCTGGCTGCCCCAAGGCGCCGGAGGAACATCTGGGGGAGGCAGGCTGAGAGAGGATTGGCGAGTGACCACGGGATGCCCCCCACACTCCACCTGCAGGTGCCCCTTCCCGCCAACCCGGGGCGCCGGGCTTAGATTCCCTAGGGCTCTTCAGATGAAAGGAAAACCAAACAGTCCCCCCAAGTGGGACCCAGGTAGCTCCGGGGCTGATTCTAAAAGTCAAACTGGCCCCCTTGTCTTTTTAAAAAGCAGACCCACCTGATCAAATGGCCTCGAGGTTGCCTTCTGGTTTCAGGCTAACGTCCAGGGCCCTGGTCCCACTCCGTCCAGGTCACGCTGCTGACTCCTCACCTGGAACCAGTGTCCTGTAGTTGACCTGGAATTGACAGGCTCTGGACCACCCCGTACTGATGGCCCCTGCGGTGGGAGCCTGTAGCCGCCCGTCCCTGACATTCCCACTGTGGGCGCTCAGGTTCCCTTCTAGAGAAGGGTTCTCCCTCCGTCTCGGTCCTGTGCAGACCATTGAAATGCAGGCTCTGATTCCGGTCTGGAGGGCCCTGCAATTCTGCATTTCTAACAAGCTCCCAGGTGATGCCAGTGCCGCTGGTCAGGGGGCTGCACCTGAGATGTTTTCATTATGAATGAACTGGAAACACAGAGATTAAAACCCCCGGGTCTAAAATGGTGACACAATTATAAGCAGTAAAAAGTAATAATTCTATTGGTTCAGAGCTTTACAGTTTGCAAAGACTTTTTGCAGAAGAGCAGTTGGAAGCTCAGAAAGGTCAAGAGACTGGCTCAGGGCAAATGACAGGAGGCTTTGGATCCTCTGTCTCCCAACTCAGGTGCCCCTCCCTCCAGCCTGTGGTGTGGATCAGCTTCACTGGGAAGTGCAAGGTGCCTTCGTAGGTTAGACGTGATCAAATAAAGCAGTGGGGGGAACGGAGGGAAAATCTTTACTTTAAATGACAAAAGCACTAGACGCTTATCTCCCTCCCCCAAAAATCAGAAAATAGAGAAAAGTGTAAAGAATATTTAACTAAATGTTACGTTTTTCTTTTCTTTTTAATTTTTTGTCTTTTGTTGTTGTTGTTGCTAATATTTTAATATATATCTGTCCAGTCTTTTTTCTCTGCACACATATACATGTTTTTGAAAAAATGGGACCAATTCTATGTATTGTTTTGTGATCTGCTCTTTTTTTTTTCATTTTAAGTTTTAATGAAAGCTGTATGTAAGATTACTTTATTCCTGCATCTTCTCAATTGTTTCTTCCTTGTATTTACCCTCTTCCCTTCCTACTTGGCGAGATTTGGCTTTGCGTTCAAGGACCTTTTTGCCGGTTCTAGTCTGGTGACAACCACCGTGCTGGGGTGCCCACGTGAACAGTTGCACCATTAGCTTCCCCCGTTGCGCTCCTTCAGTGTAGATGACATGTTTCTTCCTGTAAACCTGGACTGCTTTGCCAATTCGCTGCTCTTTGTAATGTCCTCGAACAACCTGAACTTCATCATCCTTTTGGATGGGCATGAACCGAACACTGTGTTCTGTCTCAGCTCTTTGGAGAGAGGAGAAGACAATCTTCCTGTGAATGTGGGAAGGTGCATTGAAATGCCTTTTGCGATTCTTGCTCCGGTCGGAAGTCACAAAGGGATTGAACTTCATTTTGACCATGGGCACTTCTCTGTGATCTGCCCTTTTCATTTAACATTGTATTGTGGGGATCTCAACGCATCACTTAGAATAAGCCTACAGCTTCATTTTTAAGGGCTGCGTTGTATTTCATTACATGCATGTACCCTGACGTATTTAACCAATCCTGTAGTAATGGACATTGAGGTTTTTTCCCCCATCATTTTAAATGCAAATTTTTTTGTAGTTGATTATTTACTAAGACAAAAAACCTAGGAGTGTAGTTAGAGGTTCAAAAGGTACATATTGAGCCCTGGCCGATTTGGCTCAGAGGTTAGAGCGTCAGCCCACGGACCAGAGAGACCGGATTCGGTTCCCGCTAAGGGCATGTACCTCGGTTGCAGTTTGTCCCCGGCCTCAGTTGGGGTCGTGTGGATGGCAACCAGTTGATGTGTCTCTCTCACATTGATGTTTCTCTCTCTCTCTTCTCTCCTCTCTCCCTCCCCCTCTATCTGAAGATAAATGCAAAAATGTCCTCGGGTGAGGATAAAAAAAAAAAAAGGAACACATTGAAATTCTGATTCATTTACCGCAGCGAAGCGTGGGAGAGTATGTGCCTCCAACCTGACCCCACTCCATGTTTTTGGTTCTTTTTCTTTCTAATCTTTGCCAATGTGATAAGTGAAAACTGGTCGTCTCATGGTTTTGATCTGTATTTCTTTGACTATTTGTGAAATGAAATGTAACCCATTTTCCTATGTTTCTTGGCCATTTTCACCTTCTCTTTGACAACATCAACATTTTATGTTTGCAAAACTGAAACCACAGTCAATTTTCTCTCTAAAGGCAGACAACTGGAAACATATTGAGGAAATGAAGTTCAGTGCTGAGATTTTTAGTATACAAAGTGCTGTAAGGAGCAGGAGCGGGGTGAGAACACAGCGTACGGGGAAAGGGGCGAATCCCAGCTCTGTGTTGCTTGTTACTCTGTGTGACCTTGTCAGGTTGTTTCCATTCTCTGAGCCTCAGGTTACCCATCATTAATATGGGGACAGTGGGCCAGCATCTTGGAAGGGAATAAGGGGGTCACAGGAGAAGCGCCCGGCACATGCAGTCAACACATGCTTGTTTTTATTAATAAGAAAACACTGAAACCCTCCCAAAAATTAATGGACAAACGGTATGACCTAAAAAGTCACAAGTAAGAAATACAACTAATAAATAAGCATATGGGAAACATTTATCTCCTTTAAGAAGAGGAAATGCTAATTAACACTCAGTGCCACCACGCCCTCTTATTAAATTAACAAAAACATTTTCAGCAGATAATTCCTGATGCTGAGGAAGGTGAAGTCACACTGCGTGGCCCACATTGTTGGTGGCTGTGTAATCCGTAATTTTGTGGGAAGCAATTTGGAACTCCTATCATCACACAAACATGTTCGCAACCTTTGACCCAGACCTGAGGAAGTAATTCAAACATGGACAAAGCTCCCTGGCAGAGCCGCGTCTGCCAGCACTGTGTACGATGGTGGGAAAATGTGTTTATTTTCTGTTGACCTAAAGGGTAAAACCATCATAAGAAATACACGCTGGATGCTGCAGCCCTCCCAGGCCAGGGGTGTCGTATTTTGTGTTAAACAATTCCCTAAGCTTTGTTTTACTTCTTAGCCGAACATATTTCTTTGGGAAATCTTTCACAGTTCTACTAACCAATGGCCAGATCCCTAGTTTTAACAATTAGCTTCTAGCCCTGGCTGGTTTGGCTCATGGTTAGACTCTAACCGTTAGCGGGTCAGCCCAAGGACCAAAGGGACAAGGGTTCAATTCCAGTCAAGGGCACGTACCTGGTTGCAGGTTCATCTTCAGGGGTCACGTGGGAGGCAACCAATCGATGTGTTTCTCACATCAATGTTTCTCTCTCTCTCTCTCTCTCTAAAAATCAATGGAAAAATATCCTCAGGTGAGGATTAACAACAACAAAAAATTGTCTTCTAAAATCTATTCATTTGCGCTGGCCGGTTTTGCTCAGTGGTTCGAGTGTGGGCCAGCGGACAAGGGTCCTGGGTTCGGTTTCCGCTAAGGGCACGTACCTAGTGCAGGTTGTCCCCGGTCCCGGCTGGGGTCCTGTGGGTGGCAGCCACTCCATGTGTCTCTCTCACATGGATGTTTCTCTCTTTCTTCCTCCCTCTCTCCCTCCCGCTCTATCTGAAGATAGATGCAAAAATGTCCTGGGTGAGGATAAAAAAATTCTGCTCATCCTCTGGTGGCGCTTGGGGTAATGTGAAACCAAAGGATATAAAAAGGGGGAAAGTATCATTTCGTCTGGAAACTAGATTTTGAAATCTGTTGGAGGAGGAAGGAACCTGAGGCCTGCAGAAGGGTCTTCCTCTGAGCCTGGCATTGGGGCAGGGCCCCCAGTGAACAGCAGCTCCCAGCAGCCCTGACGTGGTGAGTGGGGCCGAGCCTGGGCTGCTGGCTGGGCTGTGCCCAGGGGTGAGTCACTTCCTCGGTCACACCACATCTGTGTGTGTTTCCCGGTGCAGGAGGACTCCCACAGCACCCCCGAAAGGCAGGAGCGTGCAGGGACAACCAGTCAGAGCTGTGCCTTCTGTCGCTGGGTCCTCGGATGGTGAGGGCTTCTGGCCGCTACACTCCCAGATTGGGCGGGAGCCCACCGGGATAATGACTCTAGTGAGAGTGGGTGTCGCCTCACTGGCGGGGCGCCAGAGCCACTGGCCCCATCACAGCTCCGCAGACCTCAGGGCTGGGCACATAGCCCAGCCTCCCTCCCAACATACTAGTCTCTGTAGCTGTGGTTCTCCACTGGGACAGCATCAAAGTCACCAGGGAGATTTTGAGATTTTTCAATCATGCACAGGCCTCAGCCCCACCTACTGCGTCAGCCTTGCCAGGGGTGGAACCCTGGAAGGAATTCTTGTTTTCATTCCCGTGTGTGTGTGTGTGTGTGTGTGTGTGTGTGTGTCCCTGATAAATCCCCTTGGTTAAGAATCACAGCACAGAGCTTCAGCACTCGGGGGTGGGTTGTGTTTGTAGGCTCCTATGAACACGGCCCAGGCGGAAACTGACATACATCACTGTACACCATCACTGTTCTCCTGTGAAGAGAGGAAATCTTCCCTGCCGCGTCCCACTCTGTCCCCTGGTCCCACCAGAAACAAACCTTATCCCACATCTCAGGGCTTGCTCCTCCCCATTACTCAGCAAGAAATCTTCACGGTAGTAAGGTGTAAAGTGTGTACCAAGATAAGAAATCCTAAGGAGAAATTCTTCATGTTTTAGAAATGCTAATTGGAGCAATTGCTAGCCCATGTGAATTCAGAATCATTTATTTGAAGCTTCTATCGGTTGTCAAGAGATGCCACTTCCAAGGTCAGGAGCCACCATGGACTAGGGCCAAAGCTTGGCTAATTTACCTTTGAAAGGTCGAGTCAAAGAGGGAGGAGCTGTTTGGCAACCACTGTTACATGTCCCTAATGGACTCAAATCGTAGATGACGCGCGCGGTCTGAAAGACTGAAGTTTCCTGGCAGAGAGCATTCCGCACGGGAATGGGCTTCCTCGTCAGGGTCCCACCGAGTGTCTGGCCCCATAAGCGGCAGCAAGGTATTTGTGCGGACACTTACCAGCTGTCACCTGGGGTGGCTCAGGACTTGAAACCAACATGTCAGTCATCAACTGATGGCGCTTACTCCCTGAGTCATCCCAGCCCTGCTATTTTAATTTATTGAATTAAAATCTAGATTTTTGGATTTGTTTTTAGGTTTTACTAAGTATAATAAAAATATTTTACATTTAAAAAACATTTTCATTAAGCATTCAAGGTAGTACATGTTTCTCTTCCAAATTCCTAGTCTAGACCCTAGAGGAACCAATGTTCTGGTTAAATGTACTCGTTTATGATGGACAAGATGGAGAGAAAAGTACAGCCAGGTATGAAATCAGATTCAGCAGCAAACCTCCTGCAGGGGAGTGATGAGATATCTGATTTGTAAATTGAAATCTCGGTCAATGACATAATAGTCCCTGAGGAATGAACTGAACAGAGGGTTACTCTTTCGTCTTTGAGAAGATTGGATGGCTCTCAGAGGGGCTGTATTCTTTACAAAGCTCACTGCTGGACGTGATGTCTGCAGGATGTTTGCAGAGCTGTGTGCGATGCAGATGAATGACATAGATGCTACACGTAAATGCTTATTCCTTTGTGTTATTTCTGCTGCAGAATTTTGGATTTAAGCCACTAAAACTGTCTTCTCAAGTAGAATTGCCCTTAGCTGTTATGTTTGGCAGGAAGATTTCAGCGCACAAAGAGGTTTGAAAGAGCAGAAAAAGAAAGTCGTGTTAGACTGCACTCACTTGAGTGAGATCCAAGTTTTCCACTTTGGAGAGCAGATGTTCAAATGCCCCAGAGGAGGAGGGTGGGGGAGAAGATGAGGTGTGAGGAAATGTGACTCAGGAGCACAGCGTGTTTTTCCAGGAGGAGAGGAAAGGCTTGGCTTCTCAGCCCCCCCCCCCCCAAACAGGCTCCGTGAGACCTGCATGCATTTGCCACGCAGCACCTCTGCTCATGCCCTTTTCCCTGGAATCAGGCAAGGTTCAGGATACCCTGGGCATGGTGCCCTCCACATTAAGAATAAGCAACTTCCCCTGGGGGCTATTACTGTATCCCGGGAGTTGAGCAAGAGCTTTAAGAATTGTTATTTGGACTCCTTTGGAGGAGTTAGAATTTGAAGGAGGGAGGCTGAAGCAACAGACAGGTCAGAGGAAGCATCTGGTAAATAATTGTAAGGCATCTTTCTGATGCCCCCTGGTGGCTTTGCTCAGATAAAATTAAGCCCAGATGCCCACCTAGCCTCTAGCTTCATAAATACAGGACAAAACTCACTTTCTGGACTCTGGGGATACATTCCGTTTGTACTTATAGAGTCAAAGCCATGCGACCCATAATGACATACAGCACGGCTTCTCCTGATAAAAGCTTATTTTGAAAAGTGAAAATGAAAAAAACTCAAAATTTTATAATTCCAAACTTCAAATTTTGATATTGTATATGTATGTATGATGATTAGATGTTAGCCTCTGGAACAAAACAGATTTACTTTTTTTTTTCCTTTATTGATTTGAGAAAGAGAGGAAGTGAGAGATAGAAACATCGATGAGAGAGAACATCGACTAGTCGCCTCCCACATGCCCCCCACCCAGGCATGTGTCCTGACCGGGAATCGAACCAGTGACCTCTTGGTGCATGGGTCAATGCTCAACCACTGAGCCACACCAACAAAACAGATTCACTTTTAATGTTTGGTGACTATGTTCTTATCAGGCTAACTTGTGTTGGGTGCCACTTCTTATGGGCAGGCTCAGGCGGGCGGGCAGAGGGGACCCCTGTGTTAAGGACAATGTGCCACTGCTGTGTCATCCCAGGCTCTGACGCAGGAAACTTGACTTTTCAGCTTTTACTTTCACCATCTCTATTAGAAGTCTACTGATCATTTGTGGGCTCTTATGCACCTTTTTAAGGAAGAAAAACATGGAGAAGAAAGGCTGTGGGCAGACCGGCTGTGGGAGTTTCCCATCACCCTTCAGGAAGCGGCACCGCACCCAGCTGCTCTTCGCAGTGAGTTAGGGGCCTGGGGCTATGGGTGCTCGGCCTCCAAGGTCCCTCTCTGAATCTACCCACGGAGGGTGCCGGCTTGCCACCTGCCACTCCAAACAGCGCTGCCAGGGCTGGGGTGTTGCATGTTTTTTGTTTTGTTTTGTTTTGCAAAAGGTAAAGAATTAAAAACTAAATAATTTAAATAACATGTGGTCAAGAAGGGTGAGCGTGCCAACACTTGTTTCTGGCTGGCATCGCAGGACTCCGGGGGCTGTCACTGGGTGGCCTCAGCTGTGTGGATCACCCTTTCAGCATGACCCACGGTTCGCACCCACCACACGAGAGCTGCTGCCAACTTGTCCATGCACATTTCAGAGAAGCAAAGAAAGTTAGAGCTGGGAGGAGACCCAGAGAGCACAGTGCACGGAATTCGATGATTTTTAGTCATAGTAGCTTTTCTCAAGATAATGCAAGCAGAAAAACATCCCCTGGCGGGCCTGCCCTGGGTGGGGAGAGGCAGGGCGAGGCCTGCCTGCTCAGGCAGCTCCTGAGCATGAAAGTCACCCCGAGCTTCATCTACCCAGTTCATGCACGAGGAACCCCGGGGCCAGAGAGCTCACAAGGGTTCCCTTCAGAGAGCTTAGCTCGTATCGCCTGTTACCCAGGAGCCCTTCCCCAGTCACTGTTCTGTCACAGTTAGCTCTAGTTCTCCTCTGTAGATGATACATTTTCTAATAATGAATATAGGTTTCACTGATTGAACACTTCCTATACCAGATACTATGACAGATTAGAGCTTTTCTTTCTTTATTGATTTGAGAGGAAGGGAGAGGGAGAGAGAAAGAGAAACATTGATGAGGAGAACATCAATTGACCACCTCCTGCATGCCCCCCACTGGGGATCAGGCCCACAACCTGGGCATGTGCCCTGACCGGGAATCGAACCGGTGACCTCTCGGTGCATGGGTCGATGCTCAAACACTGAGCCACACGGGCCGGGCAGAGTAGACCTTTTCAGAGTGTGGCCAGAAGGCCTCTGGGAGTCCCCGAGACCCTCAGAGGGGACCATGAGGTCCTGTCTTTCCTAGCTAAGTATCTGTGCAAGGACAACACAGTGGCAAGACATAAAACATGCCACTCTTCTCACTATTTATTTTCAAAAAGTTATTTTTTGTTTTATAATGTTTTGTTAATATGAAATGGGTTATTGTTGTTTTTAAATGATATAATAAATGGGGGGTGGGATCAGGAGGAGGGTTTCAATGGGAGAAAAAGGAGAAATATCTATAACAAAAATAAATTAATTAATAATTTTTTAAAAAATGCGCCCAGCTGGTATAGCTCAGTGGTTGAGCGTCGACCCATGCACCGAGAGGTTGCTGGTTCGATTCCCGGTCAGGGCACATGCCCAGGTTGTGGGCCAAATCCCCAGTGGGGGGCATGCAGGAGGCGGTCAATCAATGTTCTCGCTCATTGATGTTTCTATTTCTCTCCCCCTCTCCCTTTGTCTCTCTAAAATCAATAAAAATAAATAAGATATAGTAAGTAAAATATTTTTTAAATACCTCAGTTAAAAAAATTTTTTTTAAGTCTCAGGATACTCATTCAGTCTTGGAAAGACCTGAGTGATTCTGTAAGCAAAAATGATTTGAAATTTATATATAGATATTTCCCTACCCCTCCATCTCTGAAATCAAAAGTTTGAGAACTGTTGACAGTATATATAATTTGACTGTCACAACACCTCTGTAACATAGGAATTATTACCTTTATAGATAAGGAAATGGAGGCTCAGAGAAATTAAGTGCCAGGGTCAAAGAGGTGATGTATCAGTTATGTACAGCTAGGTAACAAAGAATCCTAAAACTGAATGGCTCAAAACAACCCACATTTACTATCCGGTTTCTGTAGGTCAGGACTTTGGGAGCAGCTTACCTGGGTGGTTTGGGCTCAGCGTCTCTCACGAGGTGCAGTCAGGGTGTTGGCAGGACTGACATCATCTGAAGGCTTGACTTGGGGCTGAGGATCTGTTTCCAAGATGGTCACTCACATAGCCATTGCCTGCTTGAGTGTCATTAAGAGATGGTAGCCAGCTTCCCCCAGAGCAGGTGATCCAAGAGAAAGAAAAGACTGAGAATGTCAACGTCCTTTATGACCTGATTTTGGAAGTCATACACCATCACTACCGCTTTATTCTCTCTGTTAGAAGCGAGTCACTTAATCCAGCCACTTCTTCAACAACATGCTAAAGAACATGTGGACATATGTCCAACCATCCAGCTAAGGGGCAGAGCTAGGCCTTAGATTCAGGCCTGTCTCAGTGTCTTGCTCTTTCCACTGTATAGCACAACCTTCCCAGGGTAAGTCCCTGTCCTCTGTTTGTAATTTTCTTGGGTTCAGGATCAAGAAGACATTCAATAATTATGGACTGAGTGAGATTTGGGAAAGAAAAAGACCTTTCTAAAGCTCCCTCCATTTGTGACTTACACTTTGAAAGCTGACATTACAGTGAGTGTGGTCATGAGTACAGCGAGGCTGGTGGCATCGGCAGCTTTGTCCCTGGCTCCTCTCTTCTGGAGCTGAGATGTTGCTTGGACACCTGAGCCTGGTGTGCTCACTGCCTGGCCCAGGCTCCCACACTAGGGCCTTACCTGGAGAGTTCTCCACCACTAGCCTCTCCATGGCACTGATGTGGGCAAAGCTATGATTCAGGTTCCTACCTGGGCTTATGAACTGACGTAGGGGAAAACCATCTTTCCAACTGACTGGTGACAAAACACAAGCTTGTGGTCACAGCAGAGACTAAGAAGAGAATGTAGATCTATTGGGGCAAATCTGAAAAATTACTCCAAATGCAAGATCAGTAATTCCGAGGGGCCAAACTCTCACAGATCCATCTATTCAGCAGACCTCTACTAGGCATCCACATGTGCTAGGCAAATCGAGACTTCATCCGAACTGTCACTTATCAGAACATCTCCCAGTTGTCAGAGTGATCACAGATGTCACCGCTAGGCTGGCAACGCCCTCGTCACACAGCCAGGAAGTTAAACACTGGAGAGCAAGGCAGACTTGCTCAGAGCTCTGCTCGCCGTACCGTATTGTGTGACTATAGTCAAGAAACTCAGAAGACTTCCGGTCAGGATGGCGGGTAGGTAAACGCGGTATCGGGTCCTCCCACAACCACATCCAAGTTACAACAAAACTACAGAACAACCATCATTCAAAACCGCCTGAAATCAAGCTGAATGGCAGTCCTACAACTACGGAATTAAAGAAGCTGCATGGAGACTGGTAGGAGGGGCGGCGGCGGAGGGGCTGGTACCACACCCACGTGTGGCGGATAAAAATCAGGAGGACACCTCGGCTGGGAAGGTCCTTCCTGGAGACTGAGGGGTCCCCGTCCCACACCAGGTGCCCCGCTCAGGGTTCCAGTTCCAGGAAGAGAATCCCCATCACTTCTGGCTGGAAAAACCAGCGGGAACTGAGGCTCAGGGAAGCTGAGGCGGCTGGAGCCCCAGGCAGCTCCTTAAAGGGCCCGCGCACGGACTTATCGGACTCTCTCCCTCTAAGCTCGGAGGGGAGGCAGCTTGAGGGGCGCCAGAGACACACAGGGAAGAACTGAGCTGTTTGGCACTGGAGTGAGGGCTGGAGAGGGGGCTTTCTCCGAGACAAACGTGCTGTCAGAGGCCTTTGTTCCTTTGGTGAGCCCTTCCCTGGGGCGGCAGACAGTCGCCATATCTGGGACTCCAGCAACCTGGCTCACACTGGTAGCCCCGCCCTGCTGACTCCCTGAGGCCCCGCCCCACCCCGCCCCACCCAACTTTCAGGCCCACCCAACTTTCAGGCCCACCCAAGCTGTTGGCACTTGCTTAACCATAGGATTGGCCTGACTTGGATCCTGCTTCAGGTTTTCCTAAATTTTTTAAAACGAGCAGCATCTGGTCTCAGCTAGCCCCATACCTCTCGTTAAGTAATACACAGAAACAAACACAGGGAGGCAGCCAAAATGAGGAGACACAGAAACAGGTCCCAAACAGGTCTGAAAGAACAGAACAAAACCCCAGGAAAAGAACTAAGCGAAATGGAGATAAGCAACCTAACAGGTGCTGAGTTCAAAATACTGCTTATAAGGATGCTCAATGAACTCAGTGAGGGCCTCAAGAGCATAAAAAAGGACAGTCAGAAATGATCGATGCACAGTTAGAAACGAAGGAGGCTTTAACTGAAATAAAGAATAATTTACACAGCTTCAATAATAGAGTACGTAAATCCAAGGACCAAACCATCGATTTGGAATATAAGGAAGCAAAAAACGCCCAATCAGAACAGCAAAAAAAAAAAAAAAAATAATCCAAAAAAATGAGGATAGTGGAAGGAGCCTCTGGGACAACCTCAAGCAAGCCAACATTTGCATCTTGGGGGTGCCCGAAGGAGAAGAGAGAGAACAAGAAATCGAAAACCTGTTTGAAACAATAATGGCAGAAAACTTTCCTAACTTGGTGAAGGAAACAGACATACAAGTCCAGGAAGTACAGAGAGTCCCAAATAAGATGAACCCTAAGAGGCTCACACCAAGACACATCATCATCAAAATGCAAAAGGTTCAAGACAAAGAGAGAATCTTAAAAGCAGCAAGAGAAAGGCAGCTAGTTACCTACAAGGGAGTTCCCATAAGACTGTCAGCTGATTTCTCAAAAGAAACTTTGCAGGCCAGAAGGGAGTGGCAAGAAATATTCAGAGTGATGGAAAGCAAGAACCTACAACCAAGATTACTCTATCCTGCAAAGCTGTCATTTAGAATCGATGGCCATATAAAGACTTTCCCAGACAAGAAAAAGTTAAAGGAGTTCATCACCACCAAACCGTTATTATATGAAATGATGAAGGGTCTTTTTGAAGAAAAAGATAAAATATATGAACAAACAAAATGGCAATGAATACATATCTATCAACAATGGAATCTACAAACAAAATGAACAGATAGAACAGAAACATTCTCATAGATACAGAGAACATTTTATTTGTTGCCAGATGGAAGGGGGTTGGGGGAATGGGTGAAAAATGTGAAGGGATTAAGAAGTACAAATTGGTTGCTAAACTGACAAACCTCAAAGGGAAAGGGGTTGGGAGGGTGGGAAGAAATAAACCAAAGAACTTATATGCATAACCAATGGACACAGACAATAGTGTGGGAAAAGGCAGGAGGGAGGCGGGAGTGGGGAGGAGGGAGTCAATGGGGGAAAAAATGTGGAACATCTGTAATACAGTCTACATTCAACAATAAAGATTTAATAAAAAAAATTTTTTTTAAATAAAAAAAAAAGAAACTCACACCTCCTTTGTATAATGGGTGTTCTCAGGTCCCAGCAGAGGCCCCTGCTGCTGGCCTCCTGCTTCTGGCGTTGGGCTGCAGAGCCGTGAGGGTGAGGCCTGGGGCACTGGGGTTCCTAACTCCCCAAGAGACTGCCATCGTGAACCACTTACAGGTGAGGCGACCAGGGGCTGGGGAGGCCTCGAAAGAAGGCAGAAGTGGGGACAGCTGTTGTTCCCAGGCGATGAGTCATATTTTTAATCTTTCCTTTTTAGAATTTCATTATAGATACAACACCCCAGGACAGAATTACTTCAATCATACAAAAGGAGGTGCTTTTGTCCAGCTCTGCTTTTTAAATGAAAATAAAAATTCTTCACCTTGTAAGTACATCTCCTGTATGATCCCATCTTTGTGAACAACAGAGTCTCCCGGGCATGGAAGACCCATATTACACGGGTGACTCCTTCCACGTGGGGGGCCCCTGCCTTCTCCTGTCTGCTACCCAGGTCTTCAGCCCGATGTCCGGATGGCAAGAGGCTAGGCTGGGGCTAGGAGATATGAAACCCTAGCAATAAAGGACTTTGAAGATTATTAAGTACTATGCCAGTTCAATCTGGTAATAAATCATAAATATTTGCTGAACAATGACCAACTGAATAATTGCCACTGTTACTGTTATTATTCAGGAGTGGCAAAAGCTTTAACTATACCCCCACTAACAGTCAGCATGAAAAGAAACAGGCTATTTTTACACTCCTTAAACATCATTGCTCATCTCAATGCAAAATTTTGCTTAGGAAAAAATTAAAATCTCACAAACGTTTATTTATAAAGTTGAATAGAACATGGCTCCTCCCTCCCCAGGAGTTTACAATCTACTGAGAGACCGGAACTCATGCCCAAACGAGGAAGGTTCATCGCAGAATGTGGTACCTGCGAGAGCAGGTGGAGTGCGCTAGGGACAGAGGCGGCAGGAAGTGCTCCTGGGTCTGCCTCTGGGCAGCTTTCCTGGTTCTGACATCCTTTCCTCGTGGGCGAGTTCACCCCTTCAGAGCGCTCCCTCTCCGTCTGGGGACAGGGCAGGGAAAATGTTTCTTACCTTTCACAACTGCCAATGTTTAAGACTAAAGGATGTCATTTCCCTGACTGACCTCAGCTGCCAAGTCCTCCAGTTGGATGTATTGTCAAGGAGACTGCGACTCGACAGCAGCAACAGGGCAGATTTCTTTACTATCTCCTCAGTGCTCAGGTTACAGCTCACAAGACCTATTACTCCAATGTCTGGATGAGGCAAGGAACTGAGTCATGGGAAATATGATGCTGAACTCCATTAGTAAACATATAGTGGCCAAGAGCATAGAAGTCACAGGAAGCATCGTTTGCTCAGTGTTGTTAAAGAACCTTCCAGAAACTGGAGGGAACAGGTGGAGCGGGCTGTTGTGGGAAGTCTCGAGTCCCTCTGTAGACTGGGAGACAGCGTGCTTCGTTAGGACGCTGTAGATATGAAGACTAGACTAGGTGGAACTGGACCAGACAACCCCATGGTCCTTTCCAACTCTGAGTTTCTATGTTTCAAATAAAACCCAAAATTATACCTGGAGACTATCAAAGGATGAAGATTGGGCTCTTCAGTGCTGTTCATCACGACTCCAGTCTAGATGGTCAACATGACTAAATTTGGACTTTCTGGAACTGCCCTGCCTTCATGCCCGAGGGACAGTCTCTCCCAGTTCCCGTGTCAAATGGAACCTCTCAAGGGGGGAGAAGCCTAGCTCCTAGAGACCAGGAAGACAGGAGACCTAGGAGAGAGGGGGGAGGAAAGAAGAGGGGTGACTACTACATGTATCTTCTCTGTTTAGTCTTTATTTTCTACAATTGTCTTAGTGACTTACTTGTTAGTTTCTGACTCCTACAACTTTGCTCCTAAAGTTGGAGAGGTCTTCAGGACTCCAACTGGGTCAACCTCTTGGAAGATATTATCCCTCCATTTTCATATGAAGCAGTTGAACCCAGAAAAGTTAGACAACGTGCCCAGGTCACACAACTAGTACCCAGGGAACCTAGACTCCTGGCCTCTTGTCTGCTTATAACTTCTTTTAATAATTGAATTTCTTTTCCTGAATTCTTTGAATTCAGAATACTTGATACAAAGTTCTTTGTTTTCTTTGTTCCCCATTTTTCTTATTTAATTTTTTAATGAAGTATTTCATTCATACCCAAAAGTTCAGGAAATGATACCTATACAGCCACCATTTGGGAATCATTTCCGACGCTCTGAGTTTAATCATAGTCAACATTTTCCAGCTTGTTCAAAGCCAAACTGGATCTATTCCCAGAGAGCAAATTCAAAATCCTCTCAAGATGAGCATGATCTCCTACCAGGAAAGTAAGTATTATTTTATTAGTAGTAACAATAACAAAAATGGTTACCTATTGGTTGGGTTCAGCCTGTGTGCTTGGTAATTTAAATTACCAGCCTAAGATCATCTAGATCCTAAGTAGTAGAGACAGGATTCAAACCCAAGTCTGGCTAATACTTCAATCTTCATTCATTCACTCCACAAACATTTGAATGTCAACAGCAGTGTGCTGTGCTAGCTGCTGAACACAGTGACAAAGTTGACTATTGTCCTTGCCCTCGTGGAGCTCACTTTTTTGGGAAGAGGAGGCAGTGTTTGTAAGTGCCAAGAAGGGGGCATTCAGTGACTGTTACCTAATTATGGAGCTCAGGGAAGCTCAGCTCCAAAGGATACGTTGAATGAACTAGCAAGGGGAAGTAGGGGGAGAGAACATTCCAGTCTGAGAGCTTCCTGATGTGGAAAGACCCTTGGCAAGTTCAGGACCAGTGTGGCTGGAGCCTTCAAAAGGGAGGGGCAGCGGGACAAGCTGGAGCTGGCGAGGGCAGGCAGGTGGAGGAGCTGGGCCAGACTGTTCAGGGGCTTGCCAGCTACGGGAAGGACTTCAGACTCTTAGCTATAATGGGAAGTCAGTGAAGTTTTAATCAGGGAGTTTTAAAAGCTTTTTAGTGTTTTAAAGAGATTGCTGTAGCTACTAAGTGAGGGAAAATGATTAGAGGAGTCCAATCTTGAGCAGAGGGGCCAAATAAGAGGCTAGAGCGATAATCCAGGTGAGATGATGGTAGCTTGGTAAAGGATGGTAGAAATGGCAGGAGATACGTCTAGCAGCATTCAGCTGTGTAAGAGGTAGACTCAATAGTGTAGCAGAGTGGTTAAGGGTTCAGGCTCTGCTATCACACTCTCAGTCTGAGCCCACTACCCTCTACCATAGCAGAGAGTGTGTAAGAACATGGCCTCTGGAAACTTCCTTGGTTTGCATCTCGGCTCTATGTCCTTGGGCAGGTTGCTTGACTTCTCTGAGCCTCCCTTTCCCCATTGTTTCTCTCCATTATTCCCCAAATGGGAATAACAACGATGCCAAGTCCACTGAGGATGGAGCCCGCACACTGAGAGCACTTAGAAAGGAAACTGGCGCATAAGCACTCAGCAAGTAGTGGCTATCATTGCTGTTGGGGTGACTGAGTGGATGTGGGGACGCAGAGGACCCTGATGCTCCACTTTCCCACTGCACTGCACTGTCGGGCCCTGCCCAGGGGTTTTCATTAGCTGGGGGCTCTGACGCCAAATCACCTCTCTCCATGGAGGATGGATCCAGCTGATGTTAACGTGGTAGGAGAAGAGGGATGAAGGGAGGCATCGAGGCACAAGCCCTTGAAGTCAGACTTTCCGGAGATGATATTGCTCATAAGAGTTGCATGTACCAAAGAAGTAATGCTTAGCAGAAGGAATCTCAAACCAGGGAGGAGGCGAGGATGGCTCCAGGCCTACCTGTCGAGCAAGGTTTTGTGGCACCCCTTGGGGCTACTACTCAGACTTGTGCAAAGCATAACTCAGGTAGCATCCTTCACACAGACTTTGTGAATGAAACTCCTCGAGTATGCGAGGCACCCCACGAGCCCTGGAACCCTCCTTCACCAAGGGCAGACTCTGGACCATCACAGAAACACTCATTTACAGTGTCATGGTCCAGAGCAGCCTGTTTGCTTGAAGAGGTGCTGCTTTTATTTCGCTACTGCTGCCTTCTTCCTGTGGTAGCTTACTCACTGGTGCAAGATGAACTCAACTAGAGTGTCTGCATTTGGCAGATTGGTCTGTATTTGTTTCATAAATATGCAGGGTAGGTTGACTCCCAAAACAATGAAAAGAGAAAAAAAACCTCTTTGGAGTTTTGCCTCTTTCTGTGCCAACAGAAAAGGAGATGGATTTCAGAGGAAAGGCCCTTGCTGGCCACGGGAACCACCTTTATCCGAAGCTCAGCTGTGGTCAGCCACCAAGGCGCGTGGGAGCTACTGAGGCCGAGGGTGGCAGCCTCCAGCACCAGCACGCACAGGCCACAGAGCCGGGGGCCACGTCACGTGAGTATTGATGTGCTTTTGCCTTCCAGAGAAAGTCTTAAGGCTTCCGGGACCTCCAGTTCAGACCTGGCTACACCCTTACCCCACTTCCACTCCTGCAGGATTTCTGGAAGCAAATTCTTCAGCAACGCTAGCAGTATCAAAGAAACAAAATCTGAGGTGAGGACTCAGAAAAACATTCTTAGAACCTTTGCAGCTTTTAAGTTTGGGCTTGCTGACCACAAAACGGATGGCTTTTAAATTACTACAGCACGGAGCATCCAAATGTGCTCTGCTAAAAGCGATCTGTGCTCAGCACTAACAAAGACGAATGGCCTGAGCAGCCACGTGGCGTGTGTGTGACTCCCAAACTGGTTCCAAGGAAAACTCCCTGGAGAGGGTGTCCTATGGGTGGTGGCTCAGCTACAGGATCCCCTGGCCCAGGTGTGAAGGCGCTGGAGACCGTCCCCAGCCGCGCACAGGCCTGCTCCAGTGCCACGAGTTAGAGCTGCCAGCCACAGCCTGTTTTCCGATCAGTAAACTAATCCCAGGCCACGTTCAAATGCTTCTCCTCCATGGGCGCTGTCTCTGTCCTCAGTGCGCTTATCCCTAAGGTAAGTCCCTCCAGCGGCCTGCGGAGCTTTTCTTTTCTCAGGTCTTTCTCCACAGCAGGGAAATGGCCTGGCAGGTTGCTGACCTCACCTCTGAATCACACTCATCAGTCACATGTCGGTCTTTTTTTCTGGTCTTTGCCCTAAAAAATACCTTCCATCTCAGACTGGTTTCCTAGGAAACCAACCCTCAAAAACAGAAACAGACCAGGTGGAAAAAACAGAGGGTGGAAAAAAAGAGCAGTCCAAATTCCACCTCGGTGTTTGATGAGAGAACCCAATTAACAGGAAAAGTGGCACGTTTATGTAACTAAAATGTGTGCACTTTTTCTCTGTAGGGTTTAGACTCGTCTTTGGATCATGCCCTTAGGACAGCAACCATTTTGAGAGAAACTACTGATCAAATGATTAGAACTATTGCAGAAGATCTTGCCAAACTACAGAGATGGAGGAATCGACTGAAATACTACTAGTTTGATGCGGATGACCAAGGGGAAAAAAAAATGCCAGGAGAACTTAATCTTCTCCCCAACATGTTTTACTTATTACATAATTTAGGAGGATGAATTTCAAGAGAAAATGGCAAAATAATAAGAAATGGGGAACACAAAGTACCTTAATGAGAAAAAAGGGACCTCTGATTCTTGAATCAAATCTACAAATATTTATTTAAAATAAATCTGTTATTCCTAACTCATAATAAAAGAAATGAAAACAATAAAATATACTTTTAGCTATTAGTATGGCAAAAAAAAAAAAAAGTTTGGAAAACCCAGTCAGTGAGGATGGGAGAGACAGGTACTCCCACACACTGCTGGTGGAAGTATAAATTTATGCAAATTCTACATGCACTTGACCCTGAGCAGCACGTGCACCACTAGGTGTTTACTTCACAGATGACTCACACAATGGGCCAAGAAAGGAACAGCCCCAACACAACTAATCTAAACACCCTGTGTGGCCCTTTGTAAACAGTCAGGCATAAATACTCCACAGCCATGAAAAGAATGAGGTGGGTTAAACCTGCAGGACAGTGGGGAAAAGAGCAAGATGCCTAATACACGTGTGATTTTTTGTGTGTGTTTTTCAAAGGGCATACACACTTTCTGGAAAGTACACAAAAATATTCAGTGGACCTCTAGGAGGAACTGGAAGTTCTGTGGGGAAGTGGACAGTTTTTACATTTACTCTCTGTACTGTATGAAATTCTTACAAAATGCTCATAAGTTATTTGATTAAAGATCTCTGGAAGTGAGAAATAGGCAAAAATGATAGACATAGCTCTAGGTTCATGAAATTTGGGGCAAAAGTGAAGACAATTCATTACAACTGTGTTACACAGACTCAATAAATTTATAACATTTTATGCAGAATGTCAGAATAAGGTTAGAATTTATTTCTTTAAGACTGATTTATACCTCCTTAATGACAGAGCAGCAAATTATTGGCTCTTTCTCTTTCCTGAGGCCTCCATTCACTCCAAATACCCAAAAAATGGTTTCCTACCCCCAGAGCTTTGCTCAGTGGGAAGAAAAGCCGAATCCATTCCCACGTTGAAGATTTTGTGGCCGCCATGGCAGCTGCTATTTGTCTAGCTGCCTGGAGGATGGCTTATTTTTAACTCTGGGGCTTGGAAATTGGTTTCCAGTGCCTTGGGAGAGAGAGCAGAGGCCAGAGTAAAGACTGCTCTGACTTTGTAGCTAAATTTACTTCAGGCTGTGGCACTGTGAGGAAGAGTGAAGACTGGTAGTATTATTTTAAGAGAAAAAAAAGGAACTTAAACTGTGTACGTGCTCAGAGGCTTTTAGATTCATCGCAGATCTAAATTTAATCACAGCTTGATAACCTGTTTTGTGCACCCAGCATCACTATCCTGTCCCTAAGTTTAAAATCAAACAATTCTCTGGCTTGAAGCGTTCTTATTAAACGATTCATGAGTCCTTAACTTTTGGAGTTCAGCCCTCTGAGAACCTGATGAAACCTGTGGAGTCTCGCTCCCTATGCTCCACTCTCCCATGGAAAAGTGATATATGAACACACACAACTTTGCACCCAAGTTTTAAAAGTCCACGGACATCTGAAGCAAGTCCATGGAACTGTGGTTAGAAAGGACTACCAAAAATGATGTTCCTAATCCCCTGAACTGACCGTTAGAGAAATTTATACTATAATCTTCTTGACTTAAAAATACAACCCATCTCTGCTTTGTTAAACCGTGCTGTAAATGCAGTTTTACATTTCCTTGATTGAGGCTCACTATGGATAATCACGGCAACATGACTAATCCAAGGAACACAAGCAGGGCATCATCCCTAAGGCATCTGGAAAAGGGCTAGGTAGGCTGTGATTTACAAAGATGATTTTCTTTTTTCTTTATTGATTTTAGAGGGAGAGGGAGAGATAGAAACATCGATTGGCTGCCTCCTGCATGCCCCCCACTGGGGATTTGGCCCACAACCTGGGCATGTGCCCTGACCAGGAATCGGACTGGCGACCTCTTGGTGCATGGGCTGCCGCTCAACCACTGAGCCACACCGGCCCGGCCAAGGAAAATTTTCTATTTACTGATTCTGTAGCCTTGGCCGTCTCCTCCTTCATGCAACTTAGTGTCAACACTGATAGACCTCTCTTCTAATTCTGCTGCAGAAATAAACCAGAAAAACAAGCCTGTTAAGTAAAAGTGATTGTATCTCCATATGCTGAGTCACAAATTGCTGAGGGCAGGGGTGTTGTAAAGGCACTTGGTAGCTTCCACAGCACAGAGGCCCTCTGTGCTTGCTTCCTGCTCGAGGCACCAGGATCAAAACAGCAGGGTGAGGGGGACTGCTTGTAGAATGCTCTCATCTCTTTAGAAGTTCTAGCCACCCGCTCTAGTTACCTACCAGAGTATACAAACGAAAACTCATCCTTTTATCATTCATTTCTACTGTAATCTTATTGATGGAGTATTTTAAATAGACCTAATTCATACTAAATATGAATATATATCTATATTTAATACCCAAAATGTTTGGTAGGAGAAATTTTACTGTGGAGGAAGACATTTCTTGCTGTTTTGATTTTAAAAGAAATCTGCCTGCATCCTGATGGGAGTCACAAAGGATACCAGGCACCCACACCACAGCTGAGTTACACAAGTATCACATCTTACAACATAAACTGCCAGGATGAGGGCTCTTTGGGCTCGAATCCAAAAATTTTTGTGTTGTGAATTGGTATTTTTCGTCTTTGATTTTTGTGAATATGGCTGAACAACATGAATCCACTGTACTTTACAGACCAAGCACGCTTCAATAGAAAGCTAAACTGTGCTTCAGAGATGGTGAATAAATGGTTTCAGTTAGCTGCAAGAACAAGAAAGTCTTTTTCAGGGTCTTGATATCAGAATCTGAAAATGCTAATTCTGGGGGATAAGAGATCAGATTACACCAAGGGATTTATGTGAGATGATCTCTTTTGTCTTCAAGCCCAGTGAGAGATTTAGAAAACAAAGAGTCTCTCCAATGCTAAGGGTCTCACATTAGTGCAAAAGAGCAGAGTGATCACTGAGGGGTTAAGTGACCGTCTCAGTGGGTCAATGTCTGCCGTCATCACACCGGGCACTGGATGAGTCTAAATCTCTGTGCCACGTGATGTTCTAATCCTGGACAGATAGTTACCTAGGCATAAAAGGATCTCAGATAAAATGCAGATACCAAAATGCCCTCTCCTGGCAGTGCACTTCATGTTCTCATGCTTGACATGTGGAGAGAGCTGCTTATTAATGTCGAGCCTTCCTCCCCACATACACATCCAGGTTATCTCACGTAACTTCTTTGTGCTTTAGTTTCCCCAGCTTTAAAGTGGAGATGATGACAGTACCTACCCTCACAGGATTAAGTGAAAAAATTAAATGAGGTAACATAAGCACTTAACAACACTGCCTGGTACATACAGAGCACTAAGAAAGCCGTTGCACATTATTTTATTACCATTACTTCATAAAATAGCAAGTTATTAAATTTATATATCAAAAACTAACTTTTCTATGTATAAAAAATTTGTTTGAAAAAAATATTAGAAAAGATCCAATTCACATGGAACCACAAGAGATGACACTATGGCAATATGTAGTGCGTATGTGAAAGAAAATGATTCTGCCAGGGCAGTGTGGCTCAGTGGTTGAGTGTCGACCCCTGCACCAAAAGGTGGCCAGTTTGATTCCTAGTTAGGGCACATGCCCAGTGGGGGACATGCAGGAGGTGGCCAACTGATGTTCTCTTTCATCAATGTTTCTCTCTCTCTCCCCCTCTCAAATCAATTAAAAAATAAATGAAAGGGCCCTGGTCGGTTTTGCTTAGTGGTTAGAGCATTGGCCTGTGGACCAGAGAGTCGCGGGTTCGATTTCGGTCAAGGGCATGTACTTTGGTTGCAGTTTGTTACCTGGCCTTGGCTGGGGTTGCGTGGAAGGCAACCATTCGATATGTCTCTCTCATTGATGTTTCTCTCTCTCTTACCCCCAACCCCCACTCTGTTTGATAATAAATGGAAAAATATCCTTGGGTAAGGATTAAATAAATAAATTAAAGAAAATGATTCTGAAGATCATAAAAATTTAGGTAAATGAATACAATCCATATTCCTGAATATCAAGTTTCGATATTATAGTGATATAAATTTTTCCTAAGTTAACCTAGAAATTTACTGCAAAACTAAAATACTAAGTTAACTTTTGGAATTAATAGAATGACACTGTTTGTTTAGAAAAATGTAATAGCCAGAGGATTTCTGAAAAATAACAGTAATTTAAGAGTAAATCTAGGAGTAATTTAAGAGAAAAATAACAGTATATATAGAGGTTACACCCATCATATATTAAAATATAAGAATTAAAATAGATAGGGAAAAAGAAATACAAACTATAGATCAATAAAACATAATCCAGAAACAGACAAAAATACAAATATAAATTTAGTCTATGATAAAGGTAGTATTTCAGATTAGGTGGGGAAAGGAGGAATACCCAATAAAATTTGGTACAATGTCTGGTTGTTTAGAAAGAAATAAAGCTGAATCCCTGTTAAATACCATATCAGTCAGGGTTCACTGTGGGAACAGAAATTCCTCTCGCTATTCCAAGCAGAAAGGGATTTCGTACAGAGAATTAGGTCCTTAAAAATCATGGAAAAAGCTTTTGGGACAGAAACTGGGGCCACCACGCTTTTAGACTCAAGATCCTATCACCATCTGTGATCCAGAGAACAGGAAGTAAGTGCTGCTGCCGCCACCAGCTTTGTCTCAAACCCATGAAGCAGGTGACAGGCACTAAAACATGGAGTCTGGGCGCTACAAACAACTCCTGTCCACTGGCACCGCCATGGTACATAGCCTCTGCCTCTTACCTCCCAAATCTTGACCAAGTGCAAATCATTAGTGGAATCTATTCTGTTCAGAACCCTACTTGAGTCTGCAAAACTTCACTTTTAGCCTTTCATCCCTTGTGGTATGGTATGGAGAGACATGGGACATAAAGCCAAGTACTAAAAGATAATATCTAGCATATATTCTCACATTAAAATCAATTCCAGATAGATGAATTACCTGTAAAAAATAAAATGAATATATCAAAATGTTCTAGAAGAAACAATAGGTGATTGAATAATCTTGGGTACAAAAGGTATTTCTACGTACAATATAAAACTCAGAAGCACCGTGGCCGGTTTGGTTCAGTAGTTAAGAGCATGAGACCGTAGACCAAAGAATCATAGGTTCGCTTCTGGTCAAAGGTACATACCTCAGTTGCAGTTCAGTTCCTGGCCCTGGCCCTGGCCAGGGTCATGTGGGAGGCAACCAACCAATGTGTCTCTCTCACACTAATGATGTGTCTCTCTGTCTCTCTGTCTCTCTCTCTCCCTCCCTTCCTCTCTCCCACTCTATCTGAAGATAAATGGTAAAGTATCCTTGGGAGAGGATTAAAAACAAAAAAACAAAAAACTCAGAAGTGCCCTGGCTGGTTTTGCTCAGTGGTTAGAGCACTGGCCCACAGACCAATGAGTCTCGGGTTTGATTCCAGACAAGGGCATGTGCCTTGGTTGCGGTTCGTCCCCGGCCCTGGTTGGGTTGTGCAGGAGACAGCCACCTGATGTGGCTCTATCACATTGATGTTTCTCTTTGTGTCTCTCTCTCCCTCCCTCCCACTCTATCTGATGATAAGTAGAAAAGTATTTTCAGGTGAGGAATAAAAAAACAAACAAAAAAATCCTCAAAAGCCACAAAAGATTTATATCACAAAAATTAAACAATGGTGCATCTATCAATATTTTAAGTACTTTGACAAGCTGTCACCGCTAGAAATTTATATTATAGAAATATTGTGAAAGTTTGCAAAAGTATGTACCCAAACAATGAAGCATTATTTGTAAGAGCCAACATGAAGATGAGTGATATATAAAAGTATGGCCCATCACATGACAGAACACTATGAGGTCAGGTAAAAGGATAGATTCAAAATAAAGATATTTCTTGCCCTGGCCGGTTTGCCTCAGCGGTTAAGAGCGTCGGCTTGCGGTCCAGAGACCCAGGTTCGGTTCCCACTAAGGGCACGTACCTTTGGTTGCAGTTTGTCCCCGGCCCTGGTTGGGTTGTGTGGGTGGCAACCACTTGATGTGTCCCTTTCACATCAATGTTTCTCTCTCTCTCCCCCTCCCACTCTATCTGAACAAAATATTGAAAAATGTCCTCGGGTGAGGACTAAAAAAAAAAAAGTGGGAAAAATAAAGATGTTTCTTTAGTGTAGCACATACTTCACATGTGTTAACACATGTTCCGTTTGTGCAGACATTTCCTCATATAGTCATGAGCCACATAATGATGTTTTGGTCAACAACGGACTGTACATACAACAGTGTTCCCATGAGATTCTGCTGGAGCTGAAAAATTACCATTGCTTAGGACATCGCAGCCATCATGTCACAGCGCAATACATTACTCATGTATTTGTGATGATGCTGGTGTAAACAAACCTACTGCAATGCCACCTGTATAAAAGTGTAGTGTGTACAATAAATACAAAATACTTGATAATAATAAACAACTATGTTGCTGGTTTATGTATTTACTATCCTTTGTATTGTTAGAGTATACTTTCTAATATAAAGTATTTTATTCTAGCCCGTGTGGCTCAGTTGTTTGAGCATCATCCCATGCACCAAAAGGTCACTGATTCGATTCCTGGTCAGAGCACATGCCCAGGTTTCAGGTTTGATCCCCAGTTGGGGTGCATAGAGGCAAGAGACTGATGTTTCTCTTTCTCCCCCTCTCCTTTCGTCTCTCTAAGTCAATAAAACATTTTTTTTTAAGTTTGCTGTAAAACAGTATGTTGTGTTACGCTAGTAGCAGCTTTGTGCATCTTGTTTACAGTGTCTCTTAATTGCATCATTTTCTCTTGTGCTTGATTTAATTTTGTGTTGTTTTGTACAGTAACATGCTTGCAGCCTGGGAGCAATAGGCTGCATCATACAACCCAGGTGTGCAGTAGGCTATACCATCTAGGTGTGTGTAATTGCACTTTGATGATGTCCACACAGGACAAAATTGCCTAATGCCACATTTCTTAGAACGTTCCTGTTGTTAAAGCAGTGCATGACAGTATTGCCCAATCTTACACATATATTACATTACTTTGTAAAAAGTCAATGGGGGAGCCCAGCCAGTGTGGCTCAGTGGATTGAACATTGTCCCATGGACTGAGAGGTCCCAGTTCAATTCCTGTTCAGGGCACATGCCTGGGTTTTGGGCTCAATCCCCAGTAGGGGGTGTGCAGGAGGTACGATAAATATATCTCTCACATTAATGTTTCTATCTCCCTCTCTCCCTTCTTCTCTAAAATATCAATAAAAACATAAAATAAAATAAAAAGTCAATGGGTGATCTTGGTGGGAAGATTATGGTGTATTCTTTTTCTTCTTTCTAACAACTCCCTGGCTTAGAACTTTTAAATTTCCTAACTTCCCCTACCACTCCCCCAAAAAACGAAGATAATTTTTGTAACTATATATTTATTTCCCCTTAGAATGTTCATGATTATTTTTGGCTTTCCAATTTAAACATACATGGTTTCAAAGTTATATAAAACTGTGTTCTTTAGAAGTATCTAGCAAGACAGTATATACTATGAAATCATTCTAATTTTACGAGTGAACTATTTTACACATAAAAAATTATGAATTGCAGTTGAAAAAAATTGCATTTGTAGAAAATCATTCTCTCATATATACACATGTACAATTTTAAATTTTATAACCTTCTGATTTAAAATCATTCTTTTCCCAAAAACTGTATTTTAGCACAAACAGGTAAGTATCTAACAAGTAATTAGTATGTACATAGGTGGCTGTGGAAAAATTACCCACAACTCTTATTGTTACAAAGGTGAAAAAAATTTCCTTAAAAAAAAAAAGCATTTTAATATTTCTTCTCATCATCAACAGAATATCAATGACATTTAAATTATTAAAGTGGCAAATCCAATTATATATAATCATAAGCAATCCTTTAAGAAATATATTTTAAAAGTCATTATTCCATAAAATATTTACATTGTTTAAATTGCATAACAGCAACACTGTCTTGATCTAGTTTAGTTGAAAGTATTAATAAGAACCACCCCACCCCCCAAATACTATTCATCCTTAATAATGGAGACTTTATCCTTGGATTTATTCAGCATCTTTATGTCATCCAAAAGCTTTTTGGGTGTTAAAATATGTGTAGAACCTGGTAGGGAAAAAGATAAATTTTCAGAGGTCAGCAGTTAAATCAATTTTCCTTGGCTAACTATATTGTCCTTTCAAAAATGCAAAGTTACTATAACTTGGGGCAATTTAACAAAATTTCTATAGGATACTTTCCTGAAATCTTCCTACTATAGTATTTCAAGCCGTCCTCTTCATTGAGCAGGCTCAGTAAACCTTCAGAAACATTGCCCACTCCTGGTACTTAGTCTATGCTGCTATATATTGATATACTGAAGAGCAAAAATGGAGGTTACTCTACCCTCATGACAGAACAATCACTGCTCAATCACAGAGAACTATTAGCAGAGCTGAGGATTGAGGCTTGGGTCAGTGGCTTTGATTAAAATTCTTAAAACTAAATTCCACATATAAGCCTTGACAATGTCAGGTCCATATTCACAAAATAATTTACAATATTTTTGGAGAAATGTCTCAAAAATTATTTAATGACCAGAGCAAGAAAAGCACAGAACATAACACTTTAAAGGACATATTTAATAATAGTTAAACAATGTAATATTTTGAAGCTCATTCCCACAAAAATAGAATACTTAAGAAAATTATCAAAAGGTCAACCAGGAAAAAACTCCAGTACTTCAAATAAAACACACTATAACTAAAACAAGTTGTTTTGCTTTCAACAATTTAGTTCTAAATGTAAAATACAAGATAAAGTTTTACATATATATTTTTGCATTTAGAGTTTGTTTAAAGAAATAGAAAAGAGGAAAACAAGTCTTACCAATGATAACTCCACAGGATTTGTGTGCCTGAGAAACTTCGTAAGCACAGCGCATTTCAGAGTATGTAATTCCTCCAATAACAAAAACAATCAGCTTGGACCCATTTTTTCGGTCCTCCAAATAATTAGCTCTGGGTTTCTGGCGAGCACTAAAAAATAAAATACAAACGCGTTACAAACACTTCCAAAGCCTATTGCTTACAGATGTTCCAAAAAGCCTAATTTAACCATATTTAAATTTGGCACCAGTTATACTAATTTTAAGGAAACAACTTAACTATGAAAGGACTAGGCACCAAGAATTAGGCAGGAAAGCCCCACTTCAAGTTTTATTTTGATCTGATAGTTCGGACAAATCACTCATAATCTAACTCAGCATGTTTACCTACAAAAAAAATAGAGCTTACACCCTCTTTTATTTATTTCACATTAAATAATACACCTGAAGTCTATGACTTCTTGAAATTAAAGAAATAGGGGAAGGTGGAGGTTAGAGGTGTGGGATTGGGAGGAGGGTTGTCAATGAGGGAAAAAGGAGAAACATCTGTAACAAAAATAAATTAATTAAAAAAAAATAAAGAAATGGGGGAAGTAGCATTGAAACAATAGGCTTTTAAAGATATGGGGGGTGGGTGTTGCAGGTTTGGAGCTCATGTGGTATTGGGACATCCCGAATTCAGTAGAGTATGATGATAGGAGATACTGAAGACATATCTGCACTCCCATGTTCACTGCAGCATTATTCACAATAGCCAAGATATAGAAAACAACCTAAATGTCCACCGAGAACAAACAGATAAAGAAAATGTGGTATATACAATGGAGTATTACTCAGCCTTATAAAAGAAGGAAATTCTGCCATTTGCAACAACTTGAACGGACCTGGAGGACATTTGGCTAAGTGAAATCAGCCGGACCGAGAAAGACAAATACCATATGATCTCACTTATATGTGGAATCTAAACAATCAAACTCACAGATGCAGAGAAAAGAATGTTAGTTGCCAGCAATTGAGGGATGGGGAAAATGAGGTGATGTTGGTCAAAGGGCACAAGTTTCAATTTGCAAGATGAAAATGTTCTACAGATCTAAGGTACAGCACAGTTAAAATTATTGTATACTTGAAATTCGCTAAGAGGGTAGATCTTTTTTTTTTTTTATCCTCACCCGAGGATACTTTTCCATTTTTTGTTCAGGTAGAGTGGGAGGGAGAGAGAGGAACAGAGAGAGAGGGAGAGAAACATCGACGTGAAAGGAACACATCGAGTGGCTGCCACCCACACAACCGACCAGGGCCGGGGACAAACTGCAACCGAGGTACGCGCCCTTAGTGGGAACCGAACCCGGGTCTCTCAGGACCGCAGGCCGACACTCTAACCGCTGAACCAAACCGGCCAGGGCAAGAGGGTAGATCTTAAATTAAGTCTTCTTACCACACATACAAAAAATGAAAGAAAACAGTAATTATGTGAAGTGATGGATATACTTGTAGTGAATTTTTCACAATGTATACATATCAAAACATCAAGTTGCATACTTGAAGCATATACAATGTAATTAAGTCAATTATATATACCTCAATAAAGCTGTTGAAAAGAGAGAGAGAGAGACAGAGAGACAGAGAGACAGAGAGAGCAAGCGTGCGCGAGCCCTGGCCAGTTTGGCTCAACGGTTAGAGCATCGGCCTGTGATCCAAAGAGACCCAGGTTCAGTTCCCACTAAGGGCGCATACCAAGGTTGCACTTTGTCCCCGGCCCTGGTTGGCTCGTGTGGGAGGCAGCCACTTGATGTGTCCCTTTCACGTCGATGTTTCTCTCTCTCTCTTCCTCTCTCTCCCTCCCACTCTATCTGAACAAAAAAATGGGAAAATGTCCTTGGGTGAGGATAAAAAAAACAAGAGAGAGAGAGAGAGACCTGGGTTTCAACTCTGATTCTGCTTCTTTCTAATTCAGTATGACTTTCAGCAAGTTACTTAACCTGTCTCTGAACCGCATGGTTATTTTCAGATTAAAATGAAGTAATGTATAGAACACATTAAGTGTGGAATCTGGCACCATGAAAATACTCAATAAATAGTAGTCATTATTGCTACCATTTCCTCCCCCCAGATTGCTTTAGATATGCACAGTCCAATACAGTGTAGCTACTTAGCCACTTGAGGCTACTTAAATTTAAATAAAATAAAATAAAAATTTCAGTTCCTCAGTCACACTAGCCACATAGCAAGTGCTCAGCAGCTCCATGTGGCTATCAAACTGGACAGTGCAGATATAAGACATTTTTATCACTGCAACAAATGCTATTGGGTAGCACTGATCTAGATATAATGGGGATCACCTATTTCCCCCCCATACCTCACTGGTAAAAATATTGAGCTTTTGTTTGAAAAGTAAATGAATATTTCAAAGTAAACATTTATATACATCTATTAAAATATATTAGTTTATAAATTACATATGTGTGTACTAATGTTTATCAATAAAACTTAATTTCTCCCTTTTTTAGGTAAAAATAAGTACCCAACAGATCATCTTGTTACCACTTTGAAAACCATGCTCTAGATGATCTTTAAGACCCTGCAACGTAGGATTCTACAGTACACTTTTTTCCCCCCGAACCAGGAATCAATCCAGCGACCCCTTGGTACATGGGTCGAAGCTCAACCACTGAACCATACTGGCCAGGCCCACAGTACGCTTTTAATAACATTCTTAGGCCCTGACTGCTCTGGCTCAGCGGTTAGAGCGTCGGTCCTTGGACCAAAGAGTTACAGGTTCGATTCTAGTCAACGGTCTCTGCAGTTCAATCCCTGGCCCTGGTCATGGTCGAGCAGGAGGCAACCAATGAATGTGTCTCTCTCACATCTTTCCCTCCCTCGATCCCTCCCGCCCTCTCTCCCTCCCACTCTATCTGAAGATAAATGGAAAAATATCCTCAGGTGAAGATTTAAAAAAGGAAATAATAATAATAATAATAAATAATGTTCTTAGTCTATCTGCCTTGGGACGGTAATTTCCATCTGCCATCTTAAGGAACAATGAGGTAATAACAGGAAAGGGGAAAGAGATTAGTTGATAGTTTTGAAAGATGGAACAAGAACAAAATATACTCTTGGTTCCCATACAAAATAAATCAAAGACATACTAAAAGTTTAAAAACTTTTTCAGAGTTTTGAAAAAGATAGTGGCAGGCAGGACTGGAGCAAGGGTGAGTGTGTGAGTGCGAGAGAGTGTGAGTGGATGTGAGTGTGGACAAACAACCTCTAGCAGTAAAGAAACATAAGGCAGAGGGTTCTGGTGCTGTGGACAGGGGAGCAGCCGACTATGTGGTAAGCAACTTGTCAGGACACTTCTCCCTGCTCAGGCAGAAGGCCCCACCATTTTGGAAGATCTGTTGGTCTTCTCTGGGAGGAGGCAGTGGGGAGCAGCTAGGGCTGAGTGACCTGAGTCCACCAGTGCACCTTACACCATTGGACCAGTGGACCCCGCTATGTCAATGCAGACCAGCGCACAGTAGAGGAACTTTCAGGGTACCTGCTCTCAGAAGCAGCAACCGGCTGGGAGCCGAGCACCATCCCCTCCAATAGCAGCAGAAGTAGCACCAGCTTGGAAGCAGAGCAATACCCTCAACAGCAGCAGCCTGATTAGAGCCAAGCACCACCCCCAGCAGCAGTAAAGCCAGCTTGGAAGCTCAGTACCTTCCCCACAGCAGCAGTGACTGGGCAGAGTGGAGCCCCACCCTCCCAGCAGCAGAGGCTCAGAACAGACATCCATCACATCCGTCCCTAGGCGGCGGCAGCGCACATCGGCAGCTGAGACCCATCCCCAGCAGCAATAGAATAGGCTGATCAGCAGCAGTGCCCCAGTCCAAGCAACAACAAGGCTCAGGCAGCTGAGACCTGCCCCTGACAATTGCAGCAGCCGATCTGTAGTGAACTCCCTTCCCCAGAAGCAGCAATGTTCTGGGAGCTGAGCATCCTCAGACCCCAACAGCAGCAGAGGATTGGGACCTGTGAGCACCACCTGGCAACAGCAGCAGCAGCACAAATCGGGAGATGACACTCACCCCCAGCAGGATCAGCAGCAACTGATCAAGAGTTGAGTGCCACCAGGCAGCAATGCACCAGCTGGACCCATGCACCCCAGCAGCACCTACCAGGACAGATCAATACCAGCTGCCAGTTGTCAAGCCTTCAGGACCCACAACAGGCAAGAGGTGCCACACACCACAACAGTCTGGGAGGCACAACAGCCTTATTTGATACACACAACCTGCCTACAAATCCCAACATCCCTCACTGGGCCTGGAACTAGCAGACTGCTAAAATGATGAGACAAAGGAACAATACCCAAATGAAAGAAAAGGAGGAATCACCAGAAAAGGAACTACAGGAAATGGAAGAAAGCAATTTGTCATGTAAAGAATTCAAAGCAATGATTTTAAGGGTGCTCAAACAATTTAGTGAGTACTACAAGCAACTCAATGAGAACTATAAAGAACTCAGTGGGAACGACAACAGCATAAAAGAAGAGGTACAAGCAATGACTAAAAATCAAGTGGAAACAAGGAATGACATAGCTGATATGAAAAATACCTCAGAAGGATTCAATAGAATAGAAGAAGCTGATGATAAAATCAGTGTCTTAGAAGACAAAGTAGAAAAAAACACCCAAATAGAGCAGCAAATGGGGGAAAAAAAAATTAAAAACAAGGAGGAGAGTTTAAGGGAGCTTTGGGAAAACACAAAATGTAACAACATTTGCATCATAGGGGTACCAGAAAGAGAAGAATTAGAGAAATGAATAGAGAACTTGTTGGAAGAAATAATGACAGAAAACTTCCCTAATTTGGCAAAGGAAAAAGTCACACAAGTCCAGGAAACACAGAGAGTCCCAAGAAAGATGAACCCCAAAGATCCACAGCTAGACACACCATAATTAACATTAAAGAATCTTAAAGGAAGCAAGTGAGAGACAGAAAGTTACCTACAAGGGAGCTCCCATTAGACTGTCGACTGATTTCTCAAAAGAAACACTGCAGACTGGAAGGGAGTGGCATGAAGTATACAAAGTAATGAAAGGCAAGGGTCTGAACCCAAGACTACTCTATCCAGAATGGCTTACATTCAAAATTGAAGGTGAAATAAAGA